TACATTTAAAAAAAAACGATCAATTCAGTGATGTGAATGCTGGAATACAGTTTCTGTGTTCTAGTGCTGTGTGGATTATAGGAAGACAGGAAACCGACAATAAAATTGGGGAAGCTGACAATTCTGTTCTCTTTGTGCTCAATTTTGTGGCAGATATTCATTTGGGATGTGTGGTGTGACATGCGCTGTGAGAGAATGTATTCAAAAGAGGGTTAACTGTGCAAATCAGGTGGAACAGAATGACTGCAGTGTGAAAAATCTGCCGCAATCTGGTTTCTCTCCCTGATTGGATAAACATCTAGCCTATGGCGTTGTGACTTGGTATGCAGGTCTCAGACAAAATTGCTTAAGTGGAGTTCAGATGTTGAAGGGCATGACGATGTGTGAGCTGATTGTGTGAGTGTGTGGTTTCCACTGGTGGGTAAATATAATAAGGAGACCAAACATCACTGTTCTTAAAGCGGTGATTCCCAAATAACAATAATAATATATAAGTAAGAAACAATAAATTGAATTATTTAAACCTGAATGGTAATAGATTAAAATAATATTAATTGAATGATTTTTCTGTTCTTTTTTGAGGAAAGAGAAAATAATGTACAAATGTATTTTAAAACTTGTTTGTATAGCATTTGTGGCAGAATACATTTTTATTTCCACAAAAATATTATGCAGCTCGACTGTTTTCAACATTGATAAAAATAAGAATGATTGATTAGAATGATTTCTGAAGGATCGTGTGACACTGAAGTAATGATGCTGAAAATTCAGCTTCACCTTCACAGAAATAAATGATATTTTAAAATATATTAAAATAGAAAACAGTTATTTTAAATTGTAATAATATTACTGTCTTTACTGCATTTTTTAATCAAATAAATGCTGCTTTGCAGACTTCTTTTAAAAAGATTTTAAAAATCTTACAGACCCCAAACTTTTGAACAAAAGTGTAGGCTATTATGCTACTTTGAGTTTTTTCTCTCACAATGTTTTTGTTGCTGTTGTTTAAAAGGTCTTATTTAACAATATTGTCGATGATATTAAATTATATCAAGTAGGCCTATAGTGCCATATGAACTAGGGCTGGACCCAAATATCCGAATATTCGTTCAGTGGGTTGGTATTCGATTTTCAATTTTGGGATTCGAATATTCGTTGTTGTTTTTTCGCACACCTCCTGGCATCCCTCTCAAAACGGTTCTCATCCGCGCTTGAATATGTTTACACTATAAAATCTGGCAAAATACAATACTCTTTTTTACAATTATCTTATATAGCCTAGCCATTAGGGTGGAGAAGAGGAGACTGCCGCGCCACAGGAGGAGGAGACAGCGCAAAGAAAGAGATGCAGCAATATTTGAGAGACACTACTAAAGTACAGTCACTTGAATGGTGGAGGCAAAACAGTAACCGCTACCCTAAACTGGCATTTGCAGCCAAACACCTCCTTTGCGTTCCGGCCTCTTCAACTCCGTCAGAGCACATTTTCTCAAAAGCTGGCTACATCGTTAATAAGACCCGAAGTTCCCTTTTACCTGAAAATGTCAACAAACTCCTCTTCCTCGCACACAACATGAAGAGAGTGTAGGTAGACTAAGTATAGCTTGCAACTTGAGCTGCGCTAATTGCGCTAGCCAACCTAACGTTTTATTGTTAGTTTTATTTTTGTTTTATTCTATATAAGGGAATTCATTTAATTGTATTTAAACTGTTCGTTAATTGAAATGTGAGATGCTGTTATTGAAAGTACGCTACCGTGTTCTTTATTTATTACAGTTTGTTCATTTATTTTTCGTTCGTCTTTTATTTAAATAGCCTACCCTTTACTGCAGGGTTCCTCAAACTCGGTCCTGGAGGGCCACTGTCCTGCAGAGTTTAGCTCCAACCCTGATCAAACACACCTGAGCAAGCTAATCAAGGTCTTCAGGATCACTAGAAACTCACAGGTAGGTGTGTTTGATCAGGGTTGGAACTAAACTCTGCATGACAGTGGCCCTCCAGGACCGAGTTTGAGGAACCCTGCTTTACTGTGTCAGTAATTACTGCTAATTTCAGATTTGGGAGTGATTTGTTTGTCGGAAAAATGTTAGGCTACCTTATTAAAAGTATTGCTCTTAACAGACCTGTGTGTTTTGTATCACTAGTGCAGTGTCCGTTCTTGGAGCATATAAGCCCTGCCCGCGTGAGGCGTGCCGCTTCCGGCTCGCACTGTTCTGCAGTTTATTAATTCTGAACGTGTTGCGTGTTCGTATTGCACCAAATGCGACACTGCACTTGGGTCCGCAGCAACACACCCGACACGTGTGAAGTCGATTGGATGAACGGTTCTCGGCATGATAAAAATGCAAACACACAGACAGACACACAGAGATTCCTGCCTTTATTAGAGAGAAGAATATGTTCAGCCCCTCCCTCTGAAGCTTCGAATATTCGGTGTTGATTATTACCGAAGCTTCGAATCTCAAAGAACGGTATTTGGATTACTGTATTTTTATTTTTTTGGTCAATGAAGAGGTTCTTGTGCCTTAATAATGGGGCTTTACATGTGCCTAAGACAAAAAAGGTTCAGAAACACTGTATGTTCTTGTCTAGCTCTCTCTCTCTCTCTCTCTCTCTTTCTCTCTCTCTCTCTCTCTCTCTCTCTCTCTCTCTCTCTCTCTCTCTCTCTCTCTCTCTCTCTCTCTCTCTCTCTCTCTCTCTCTCTGTGTGTGTGTGTGAGAGAGAGAGACTGTTCCCTTCCCCCAGTCCGAGGCAGATGTAGTCTGTGCAGTCATGGAGATAGTGCTTTTAGCACATCCATGATCAAAGAACCTATACTTATGGCACAATAAGTTCCTGCTAATAATCCACAATTACTTTCAGACACATGCGAGTGCCAATCAGAATCATACAAAAATAACTAACTACAACAAAGCACTTCAGTAATACGTAATTATGATACCATCGATTAGATAAACCTACTTGTGTACAATGACAAAAATGCCCTCATTGCCGTGAGCGTACAAAACGTGTTGTTAGTTTTGACATGCAGTTGTCTTTTTGGCTGTTTGTTCGGAACAGAAACAGGAAAGCAAAAATCATCAAAGCCAATTGGTTTTTCCATTTAGCGTAACGCAGTTAAGCTTCAAAGCTGAGAAGTCGGACTCGGTGCAAGAAAGAAATATGAAAAGGGAAAAACCGACAATAACTGCAAGACTGCAAGACTGTCAGACATGAGAGACATTTTCAGAGAAGGGCCTGCTTAACTACTCACTTCAGACTGAGACAGTAGATCAGACGTTTCGTTCAGCAGCGACTTAAGTTTCTCAGCATTGCAAAAACACAAGGAGAAGCAGCGTGGAGCTCATTATCATACAGCATATAAAGTGTATATAGAAAACTGCTGGCACTTACAGCTGAAGCTCCACATAGAACTGATCCAATTTTTCTTTTTCTTTTTTTTGTGAAAAGTTCATTTAGAAAGCAGGCACCCTGTAGCTTTTCCAATGTTAAATCAAGGGGCAAGGTTTAGCTGTTTAGCATGGTCCCGTTAGCAGATATATACAGTATATGGGGTTGGTAAGATTTTTTTTTTAATGTTTTTGAACGAAGTCTCTTATGCTAACTGCGTTTGCTTGATCAAAAATACAGTGAAGCAGTAATTTGGGGAAATATTATTACAATTTAAAATAACTGCTTTCTATTGGAATATATTGTATGTAATTTATTCCTGTGATTTTTTCAGCAGCCATCACACGAGTCTTCAGTGTCACATTATCCTTCAGAAATAATTCTAACATCCTGATTTGATGCTCAAGAAACTTTTTTATCAAAATTGATAAAATGCACTGCTTAATATCTTTGTGAAAACCATTAAAGTTCAAAAGGACACAGCATTTATTTGAAATGGAAATATTTTGTCTTTTTTATGCATTCTTGCCTATTAATGTCTTTAAAAAAATTCACTGACCTCAAACCTTTGAACAGTATGTGTGTGTTTGTGTGTAAAAAAGAAATATTTATAAAATATTTACCTACCATACAGGTTATTGACCAATATTGCAGAATTTTATTTGATCAGTATATATTGGATTTATATTGGCCAATATTACATACTTATACAATTGTATTTAGATATTAGAGATCTTTTTCTGTCCTGTAATGCTCTTTTAAAGTTAATCTTTAAAAAATATAATAATTTAATAATACTTTTAATGTAATCTTTAGCCATTCTCAAAATGAATATTCATTTTTCATACTTTATATCATAATGTTTTGATGTCTAAATATACTTGGAGCAAAAACGTATTTAACGATTGAACCTTTTTAACGTATTTATTTATTTATACATATACATTTTTGTATTGTATTTATTAAAAAAAAGTATAGAAATTGAATATTGGCCGTTACTGGTTGTCAGCTATAAGATGAAAATAATTATTGGGTTATTGTATTGGCCAGGTTTTTAATATCTAATTAATATAATCAGTGTTGTCATTAATTACCCCAGAGTAATTACTCACATGATATTTACAGCTCATGTGATTGGCTCAAAAATAACCTTGGTCTTATTGTCCCAATAAAGATAGCAGATTTCAAATCACAAACTTCCAGGGCTACAATGCCACCTGAGAAACTGCCTTTGAGATGAGGCAAAATGCTAACAAATAACTTTCTCCAGAGATCATTGCCCTCCTTGTGTTAAACAATGGCTTTTGTATTTTGTTTTCTTAATTAGTCATTCTTGTGTAACGTTCAAAACTATGATGCACAAATGAGCTGATCTGGTAATAGAATTCATGTAGACAATAAATGTACTTGTTCAGGTGGTGGAAGGGTCTCCCAGGCCGTTTCATTAATGTTTCAAACACCCACGGAAAAGCCCTGTACCAGAACACTAACGTCAGCTGGGTCCTAATGCTCTAAAGTCAATTAAATGTTCAGTACTCCCTCAGGTTTTGTGTAATTAATGTTTTAAGCATCTAACTCTTTCTCTTCCTCTTTGTTGTTGTGCTTTGCAGTCTGCTCGCAGTACTCACGGGGCGTGTTCGCCATTTTCGGACTGTACGACAAGAGGTCGGTTCACACGCTAACTTCCTTCTGCGGCGCACTGCACATCTCCCTCATCACGCCCAGTTTCCCCACCGAGGGCGAGAGCCAGTTCGTCTTACAGCTGCGGCCATCCATACGAGGAGCCCTTCTCAGCCTGCTAGACCACTACGACTGGAATCGCTTCGTCTTTCTCTACGATACCGACAGGGGTAAGACAATAAAACGTTTAGAAACACACCTACTCATGCTAATACACATGGCCATTTGCTAGTTAGATCAGAAAAATGTTATTAAGTGCCAGTGGTGGTTTAATATGTGTCTATACTGGCTTTGAATGTTAAATGACTAAATATTCTGCATAATGTCTTGAAGGAATGGTTTTCCCAAAAATGAATATGTTAATCTCATGTTGTTCCAATCTTGCTTGACTTTCTATCTTCTATAAAACACATTAAGATAAATTTGAAAGAATCTTTACAGACCTATTTTACATACAGCAGCGGTTCATAGTGAAAACGTCTGTCAAGCTCCAAAAATGGACATAAAGCACTATAAAAAACTGCTATACAAGTCTGCAGCTATACAATTTTTGTATACAACAGCCTGAAATGTATTTATTTTTTAGTTAGTGAGCCATACTTCAAAGGCGAATCAATCTCTTTTGAGACCAAATCGTTCTTTTAATGAACCAGTTGATCTGGTTTACAAATCTATCTGGTCACTTTTTTCATGATGTTACAATGAATAAGGACTGGAGATTTCAAGCTTTGATACAAAAGCATCGTAAAGTTATCCTAAATGTGGTCCATATGAATCATCCACTATGTTCAAAGTCTTCTAGTTCCATACAATAATATATGTGATGAACAGACCAAAATGTAAGTACTTATTTACTGATAATCTTCCTCTCCAACAGCTGTTAGTTGTTGCGAACGGATAAGTGAGTCAGTTACGCTGAATTTGAGAACAGAATCATGGAGGATTCATTCAAAACTGGAGTAAATGATTCATTAAAAAGATGACTCAAAAGAATGATTTTTTTTTTCCTTAAATCAGTCATTGCTAGGTCTCTAAAGTCTTGAACTTTATAAAAACATATAGGGCACGATGTTCTTAAAGAAAATGTTGGCCTGTTCCTCACAAAAAGCTGTCATTTGACTTCAGAGAACTTTGAATTTAGTGTTTAAATAAATCCATTTTATGATATGTGATGTTTTTTCACAGAAGAAAGAAAGTCATGGAGGTTTGGATCAATGTGTAAGTGAGCATATTGAATATGCAATGTAAATGTAGAAGTTGTCAGCTATGTTTAGGAGCATTTGTCACCTAAATCAATGTAACTACTACTTTATTGGTTGTCTCGTGGAGTCAGGTGACTAGGAATGATCAGATTTTTTATTTCCAGGGAGCTTGTTATTAAAAGAGAGCCTTATTCTCTGGAGATGGGGCCAGGTCTTAAACTCACAGATACTCTAATGAGCAGTTTGTTGGCCAGAAACAGCCACTCTCTTTTTTGCTTGCATGTCTCTCTCCCCTATCCTCTCCATCAATGTCTTTTCTTTTCTCGTCTTGTTCTGCTGTGTTAGACTGAGACTATCCCAGGAGCCTCGGAGGTGAGCTGTGACTTTAGGTCTGAAACACTTCTGAAATGCATGCACCGACTTCCTTTCAAAGATGAGCACAATTTCCTACTGTCACCTGAGACTGTAATTCATGAGGGCTTATTGCAAAATATCCTATAAATAACACAACTGATCTGTGTTGTCCCGTGCAAGTATAAGATGCGCTGTTCTCTGTCATATCACGGGTGTTCCTGACATGCAGATTTCTTGGAGTTTCTAAGATTGGTCCTCTCACATCTGCCACAGGCATGTTTTTTTTTTTCTTTCACATCCCATATGTCAATTATTTGCAAAGTTTCCATATGGTGAGCTAAATCAAGTTTTTTTTTAAATGTTAGCAAAATCAGAGCATTCAAGATCCTTGTATCTACTTCATCAAGTGTTTATACAGTAAATAAGAAACATTTTTACATAAAGCAATAAAGCCACAAGAGAGACAGATAGGCCTTAGTGATGTTTACCCATCCACTTTTATGTTGTACCTGTAAACACTGTAAAATCTATAGTTGGAGGATGGACCAACTGCAGATTGCAGTTTATGGCCTCCTCCACACATCCATATACTTTATTTCTTTTAAAAACATGTTTAACATAGATTTTGTGTCATCTCGAAAAATGCATTCCGTTCAAGTTATTGGTGATACTTACTGTAATGCACAGCCTTGAGCGGCTTATTGCACTATTGCAACTACAGCAATATTATAAAAGAAGGCAAAAATTTATTATTATTATCATTTTGATTATTATTAATACATTGTTGTTGTTTGTAATAATAATTTAAAAAGTATTATTGTTATTCTTATTTATAAATAATTACACACACACAAATTACAACCTGTCCTGAAATAACAAACAAATACATACACTCACCGGCCACTTTATTAGGTACACCTGTCCAACTGCTCGTTAACACTTAATTTCTAAGCAGCCAATCACATGGCGGCAACTCAGTGCATTTAGGCATGTAGACATGGTCAAGACAATCTCCTGCAGTTCAAACCGAGCATCAGTATGGGGAAGAAAGGTGATTTGAGTGACTTTGAACGTGGCATGATTGTTGGTGCCAGAAGGGCTGGTCTGAGTAATTCAGAAACTGCTAATCTACTGGGATTTTCACGCACAACCATCTCTAGGGTTTACAGAGAATGGTCCGAAAAAGAAAAAACATCCAGTGAGCGGCAGTTCTGTGGGCGGAAATGCCTTGTTGATGCCAGAGGTCAGAGGAGAATGGCCAGACTGGTTCGAGCTGATAGAAGGGCAACAGTGACTGAAATAACCACTCGTTACAACCGAGGTATGCAGCAAAGCATTTGTGAAGCCACAACACGCACAACCTTGAGGCGGATGGGCTACTACAGCAGAAGACTCCACCGGGTACCACTCATCTCCACTACAAATAGGAAAAAGAGGCTACAATTTGCAAGAGCTCACCAAAATTGAACAGTTGAAGACTGGAAAAATGTTGCCTGGTCTGATGAGTCTCGATTTCTGTTGAGACATTCAGATGTTAGAGTCAGAATTTGGCGTAAACAGAATGAGAACATGGAACCATCATGCCTTGTTACCACTGTGCAGGCTGCTGGTGGTGGTGTAATGGTGTGGGGGATGTTTTCCTGGCACACTTTAGGCCCCTTAGTGCCAATTGGGCATCGTTTAAATGCCACGGCCTACCTGAGCATTGTTTCTGACCATGTCCATCCCTTTATGGCCACCATGTACCCATCCTCTGATGGCTACTTCCACCATGTCACAAAGCTCTAATCATTTCAAATTGGTTTCTTGAACATGACAATGAGTTCACTGTACTAAAATGGCCTCCACAGTCACCAGATCTCAACCCAATAGAGCATCTTTGGGATGTGGTGGAACGGGAGATTCGCATCATGGATGTGCAGCCGACAAATCTGCGGCAACTGTGTGATGCCATCATGTCAATATGGACCAAACTCCCTGAGGAATGCTTCCAGCACCTTGTTGAATCTATGCCACGAAGAATTGAGGCAGTTCTGAAGGCAAAAGGGGGTCCAACCCGTTACTAGCATGGGGTACCTAATAAAGTGGCCGGTGAGTGTATATTTATAATAATAATTATATATATTATTATTTTATTTGTATTAATATTTACAATCATTTATTATTGTAAATTAATATTATTATTAACAATTTTGTTATTCTTATGTGCTTTTATTTTTTTTATTTTTTTTTATAACATAAAAAAATAATAATCATTTATATTTTCAATGTTTAAAAATGGCAAGCATTGAAAACAGTTTATAAGCTTATAACAGCTTATTCAATCATAATTTAGAGACAGAGAACTATACTTATAAAAGGGTACATTTGAGTGAGGCATAAACCCAAGACTGGTCAGTGCCCCCGTCACTTCTGAAATGAGTGCGACAACTGTCAGAAAAGACATTCATATGTCCTACCGGTCGGCCAATATTAGATATTAGTACTTTTGTGGTCTTGAAAAGCACATATTTGTCCTGATGGCCCTTGTTTAGACTACTGGCTGAGTTGCTTTAGATTCAGTCTGCTGTGAGTGCTTCTGAGCAGACACAATCTGACTGGGATGTGGACATGATGAATGGTTTAGTGTAAAAGGTTGGCACTTCACTATATTTTCATGGTCTGTTGTCCTTCTCTTCTCTCTCTGTCTTTGCCTACCCCACATGCGCGCACACACACACACGGCTGCTTCCCCCTGCTGGGCTGCATGGAAGATTTGGGGGGAAGGGTGGACGCTGGCAGATGATTTTGGATCTCGTTGGTTTTTGCACACACATGGATATTTCACATATGCACATGACACCCCGAGCTACTGATTTATCAGCTATTAATCAGAGCTCGATTCTTCACTGGGGGCTTGAATTATTAGCAGCAGAGGCTGAGATCTGAAATAGATGGCAGATGAATTTTAGCTCCGAGTTCGTGGTCGATACTGCAGGTGTCTGCAGATATTGAGTGCAGAGCAGGTTTAGTGTGTTGCTTGTGAATGTGTATGTAATCAGGCTACTTGACTGATTGCTGTTTGTTTAACACACTGGCATGTTAAAATGTCCACATCAGCCATCATGTACAGTGCTTTGATATGTTAATTCATGACTATTTGTGTTACACGTGTCCCGAGAGCATCAAGGCATTGGTAAACACCATGGTTGCTCAACCAGCATTTTAATGCATAATGTTCCTGAAGCTTAACTGGAACAAGCATGATGCTGCAACACCAGGGTTGTGGATTTGATTTTCACACATGCCGATAAAACGCATACCTTGAAATGCTATGGATAAAAGCATCTGCCAGTTGCATGAATGGAGTAAATACACAGTTTTAACACGTCCTAGTGCCTCTATTTTTACTTGCATTAAAAGTGCATGTTTTTAATTTCTGAAATAAAATTGTATATATATTATTATTATTATTATTATAAATATATTTATGTGTTTGTTTGTTTGTTTGTTAGTTCAGGTTGTAATGCAACTAATGCATTTCATAAAATTTGCAAATATACTTTTTTACCTTATAAAATAATGATTCATTCTGTCATCATTTACTCACCCTCATGTCATTCCTAATCTGTATTTCTTTCTTCCTTCTGCAGAACGCAAAACAAAGATAATAAAAAAAAAAAAATTAAAACATTTTTTTTTGTCTATACAATGAAAGTCAGTTTGGCCCAAAATAACACTAAATTGAAGAAAAATGGGGGGAAACACTTTTCAGACTTTTTCAAATGATGTTATTTGGTGTTCCACAGAATAAGGAAAGTCATGCAGGTTTGAAACAATGTGAGGGTGAATAAATTATGACAGAATTTTCATTTTTGGGTGAACTATCACTTTGAGATGTGTGAAAATGTATATAGGTGTAAGGAAAATATTTACATTTTTAGTGGGTAAGATTAAAAAAGATTTTTTTTTTTCTTTATTGTCATCTGTGATTGACCCATATACTAAAATAAATACCTCCCCATTTAACATTTAGGCTACAAACAGACACGGCACCCGAATGAGCTAATGAGTTGCCAGATCAAGCACAGGTTAATCTATTAAATAGTGGAACCGAGTGAGCTGCGTTGCCAAATTCTGATTGTGACCATAAGGGTCCGTTTTACAGGGACATCTGCTCATCTTGGAGTCAAGTGGGCCTCAGCGGCTCCGAGTGCCTATTTCAAACAGCTAGATTAACATATCCAACACCATCCCTGTCTGATTAGTACAAGCAGCACTGAGGACTGTAGCTGGAATCACAAGCACTGTAATGGAGCTCTCAGGAAGCCTCAATCACACCTTGGAGAAGGTGACAAAAAGCAGCTCTTTCTGACTTCCAATTTTACCGGCACGCCTGCATGATGTTGGCTTCTATTTTAGGGATGCAGGAGATTAGTTTCATGAAGAAGGGTGTTTTTGTCCATTTCTCTGAGCACTGTTGAGGCTTCTGGGACTGTAAGCTTCCATGGATGGGGATTGAGGCCTAAAATGAGTCTGCATGAAAGGACAGGAGGTTGGTATCAGCGCCCTACGATCTGTGCCACGTGATCGCTCACAGGCCTGCAGTTGCAGATGAGAGTACCGCACTGGTGCAGGAATGACTCACTGACAATGCCACAAATCACATTCTTTCTGATAAGTTGGAGCCGTGGCTCAATGGTTCAAGCCTTCGGTGGTTTGATGCACATGCTGATCAAATGCCTCACTGTCCCTTTTTTGTCCCTTTAGGTTATTCTATACTACAGGCCATCATGGAAAAGGCTGGCCAGAACGGTTGGCAGGTCAGCGCTATATGTGTTGAGAACTTTAATGATGCCAGTTACCGACAGCTTCTCGAAGACCTGGACCGTAGGCAGGAAAAGACGTTTGTCATAGACCTGGAGGCAGAGAGACTGAACAACATGCTGGAACAGGTGAGATAAGGGGATGTTTTCAGGCCGATATAAAAAGTGTCCCGTTTTGCCCTCTGATGCATGCAGCATTGTAAAATAACTTGAAATATATTAATGTTATATATATTGTCAAACCAAAAATTATTCAGACACCAGATGTGATATTTTTTTCCAGTGGGTGCAGGACACTTTAGGTCATTTGTGTAAGTGAGGATAGCAAAATAAAGTAAACTGTGACATATTATACTCAAAAATTCTTCATACAGTGGACTACCAGTAACATTTACAAAAATTTGGGACCAAAAATTATTCAGAAACTTTGACCTGACCATGTTTTGCTTAAGTTTTTTATTTTATTTAATAATAATACGTTTAATTTATATAGCGCCTTTCACAAACTCAAGGATGCTTCACAATAACAGTAAACAGTAAAGAACAAACAATCAGTTAACACATAAATGGACATTTGCCCAGTCCAAGGAAATGAGCGATTGGAGTTGCATATCGCATTACAATATTTGCTAATGCAACCTTTTTACTCCACATACTGAACAAAATTAAGCATTGCTTTGCTTGGTAATTGGTTGACCTAAATAGTTATTATCTAATTGTGAACTTAAATTTAACAGCTGACAGCTATTCAACCTAATTCATTTGTGAATCTCTAACAGAAGGGTGGCCAAAACCAGTGAATATCAACTGATTTGATAACTGAGCTCTTGTCATATTTTATTAGCATTTTCTAAACTATAGCAAATAAACTGAGATAATCTGAGAAATGTGGAAAGTGTCTGAATAAATTTTGGTTTGACTGTGTTATATATATATATATATATATACTATATTTAATTTGATTATTATTTTTTTATTATTTTTTTACTTTATATAATTAGTGGACATATGTATTTTCACTTATGGGTAAGCTACAAAAGTATGCTAATTCCTGGATGAAAGTCTTTCTTTTAATCTCCTTTAAAATAATTTGGGGTTGACAACATTATTGATGTACATTTTATTTTATTTAAAATTTGTGTTTTAAATTTCATTATAAAAATAGCGCAATGCTACCTAAAAAGCACAGTCAGAGAGAATTGTAAGGAAGAGGTAAAGGTAATGCAACACTATACCCTGAATGGTTAAAAATGTTTTTGAAGGTCTGTACACTGTACTGAACACTGTCCATCAGAGTTCACTAAAGATAATTAAATATGCTCAAGGTCCTGAGGGAACAAAGAACACATTTCCTCAAGTAACTCTGTTGCAGAAATGGCACATTAGACAGGCATATTTCTTTATTCCCTACAAACTGATCCCTTGATATTTTATTTTGTAGCTGTCAAAGTCATTTTAAGATATTCTAGCTGGTGTTTGCGTTAATATTCATCAAATTTCAGCATGGTATTGGAAAAGGCAGCGTGTTTGATTAGAAATAATTAATAACAGCGGAATTCTGCTTTCCCAACGGCTTACAGCTCTGCTGTACATTCATATGCTGGGTGAATGCTGACAAATGTATTTGCTTTTAGAATTTGCCCTCACTACAAATGTCTGGTTTATCTCCACAGATTGTGAGTGTCGGCAAGCATGTCAAAGGCTACCATTACATCATGGCAAATTTGGTGAGCTAAATTTTATTCCTTTATCGCCTTATTCTCCCTGTCAGCTTGTCTGCCTTTCATATTCTGTTTTATCTCTTACTTTCTACATATTCCACTCTACTGGTCTCTCCTTCTCTCTCTCTCTCTCTCTCTCTCTCTCTCTCTCTCTCTCTCTCTCTCTCTCTCTCTCTCTCTCTCTAGCTGTCTTGGCCTTGCTGTCTCCTGCCCTCCCTCATTCTTCTTCTTTCTTAATCCCCGCTTTTCTTTAAGCAAGATACATCAATTTGAGAGACTAATTCGTATTCCAGTGAGCGGTTGTGACAGTGTTTTAATGATGCTGGGAGCTGCAGAGCATGCTCTCTCTCTCTCTCTCTCTCTCTCTCTCTCTCTCTGGCTGTGCACGGAATTGGTTCACAGAGGCGAGCTGGATATGAATGTTTGTGGAATTTCTCTTATCGTAGCGCTGCATTGCCAACTACATTTTAATAATCTTTCTCTCTCTCTCTCTCTCCCTCCCTCTCTCTCTATCTGTATTTCTTACCATTTCCCCTTCTTTGCTCTGGCAGGGTTTTAAGGACATCAATCTGGAGCGTTTCATGCATGGGGGAGCCAATGTGACAGGCTTTCAGCTGGTGGACTTCAGCAATCCCATGGTTATTAAACTCATGCAGCGCTGGAACAAGTTGGACCAGCGCGAGTACCCCGGCTCTGACGCACCTCCCAAGGTACTCTTGCATGGCCCAGTCCAGTATGGAACCACTTTGAAACTAGATACATTAGCATAAATGCATAAACGTCCCATTTGAATCCCTCCAGACACTTTGAGAGAACTCTCAAATCTCCAGAAAGAGTCTGATGATCACACCCAATGCTTTTATATGCGTTTGTCATGGTTGAGTAAGGCAGAAAGTAGGGGTGGGCGCTATACCGGTATGAATGTGACTACCGGTATTATGTTGTACCATGATATGGATTTTGCGATACCGAGAATACCGTTAGATATTCATAAATTCAAATTTTGCAGTTATATTGTTTTGTTCAATTTGGTACTCTTTACAACTTTTAACACTACTAATGACGATACAAAATCGAGGCTGAACTGAACGTTTAACCTTTTCCTCTATTGTGTCCAACTCGCGTGATGCACAGGCATTAAAGGTATTGTAGGTAGGAATTTTATAAAAAAACTTTTTTCCAAATTTGTTTAAACTTTCTGTATATATCAATGCATAATTAAAATGTAAGTACTCTGAAAAAGAATGTATAAAAATCAAGTGTCTGTAGACCTCTCACGACTGTTTTAAAGACAGCTCATTATTTCCATTCACTCCACCCCCTCCCTTCTGGGCTCCTTCCAAAGCCACGCCCCAAAAACACATGAACGCGCGACTCCGACCACTGAGCTGAAGACGCATTATTTACCTGAGACGAGCGGAGAGGAAGGAGCGCAGTGCATGTAGTGACATCATGTCAGAATCACATGTAATAAAAAAATCTAACTTTATCATTATGAAGATAAACAAATAAGATGTATTTTAGTACTCACTATCAAGCTAGCAATATTGATATTGGTAAAGTTTAAAATATATATTGATTCGCTAACGAGCTAGTTATCTATAAGGCAAAGCTAAAAACAGGTTGCATGATACACGTTTTTCCATTGCCATCATTTACACTGTGATGAAGATGAATTTCGTGTAACATTCATAACATACCGTATGGTGTTCTGCATGTAAGAGTTTCCATGATGAAAGCATTGTTGACTCTGATGAGGACTACACTCCAGAGACAAGTACCGCATCGTCAGCTCGAGGACAGATCCGGGGTCGAGGGCGAAGCAGAGGAGGTCGTCACAAGGCGTCACTTTTCATCCCCTTGAGGTCTCTCAGTTCTCGCCATCGCTGGAAAGCCACGCCGATATTGACACGTGTTTTATTTCGTTGTTTATCCAAAGACTTTTTGTTCATTACCTTTTCTAGTAACGTTACTGTCTTCCTTTTTTTGCCTGGTTAAGGTTTGCCTTCGCGAACTGCATATGTGAATTTTGATTGGTCTTTCTCTGCCATTGTTTTGCTATTCCTAGGTTCCGTGCCTCTTGAATTTCTCAAATCAAACGGATACGCGCAAGTGGGCAGGTCATGTGTGGCAAAAGGGTGGTTGCCATGGTTGCGAGAGAGTGACAGTCGCCTAAGCCAATCCTTTGTTTCGTCCCGGAAGAAAATAATGAGCTGTGTTTAGTGCAGATTAAACGGTCTAGAGTCACTCGATTTTTATACTCTTTTTATCAGAGAACTTACATTTTAATTATGCATTGATATATACAGAAAGTTTAAACAAATTTGGAAAAAAGTTTTTTTATAAAATTCCTACCTACAATACCTTTAATGATCAAACACCGTGTATTCGTTCTCTGTCACTCTTTCACTGTGACAGAGTGTGACTCCGTCTCTGTCACTCACGCGTCTCTCGCGCACGCACACACACACAGCGACTGTCTATAAGGCGCCGGACTGGACAAAAGCGAAGCAAACTCCGCGAGTGACAGCGAGAGACCGCGTGTGTCCGAGCATTAGTAAATTGATACATAGCAATATATAATTACTATATAAGAGGTATGGAAGTTCGATAAATGGACAACAATATAAATAAAAAACAATTAAATTCTCACCACTGAATTAGCAGTATGTAGCCTACTTCTCTCTTTTGGTCAGTATACAAAAACTTCTCGGTTAACATAATGTTGTCTTCAATTAGGCCTAAGTGTCAAACCTCTCTGAAATCACACTATTTCATATTTATTGATTATAACGTATTCAATAAACCAAACTCCAGTGTTACTCATCTTACGAATTATTAACGAAGGAATTATTTTGACCCCCGCAAAATAAAAAGTGGAAAGAGATAATAAGTGAATTCAAGCCTACCTCATGTTGCACGTTTGCACATTTTGAGAAAAACAATGGGACAATAAAAAAATATTTTTCAGGTCTATGTCCAATTAAATCCCTCACCTTTTTTTAGTTATAGGGTTAAAATACATATTTTGCCTGTAATTTAACTAAGGTGTACTAAAATGTGATTCCAATTTTTTTTCTCATATCGCAATATAATATCGATATCGTCCAGCCAGTGAAAAATATCTTGATATGATTATTTGCTCATATCGCCCACCCCTAGCAGAAAGATTTAATTTTCATTTTGGATGATAGGAGAATGGGTGTGTGGAAGAAAGGAAAGATAGATGGATGGATGGATGAATTGGTGGGTGGCAGAAGGGAAAGATGGATGGATGGATGGGAGAAAGGAAACATGGATGAATGGATGGATGAAAGGGTGGATGGATGGATGGATGGATGGATGGATGGATGGATGGATGGATGGATGGATGGATGGATGGATGGATGGGTGGGTGGGTGGTTGGTTAGAAAAAGATGGATGGATGGAAGAAAGGAAACATGGATGGATGGATGGATGGATGGATGGATGGATGGATGGAAGGAAGAAAGGAAACATGGATGGATGAAAGGATGGATGGATGGATGGATGGATGGAAGAAAGGAAACATTGATGGATGGGTGGATGGGTGAGAGGGTGGGTGGAAGAAAGTGAGGATGGATGGGTGGATGTGTTGGATGGGTGGGTGTAAGTAAGGATGGATGAATGGATAGGTGGGTGGGTAGAAGGAAGGGAGGATGGATTGATGATTGGATGGATGGATGGATAGATGGAAAGTTTAAGAGTTGGAAGAGAAGAGGATGGGAGGTAGGAAGGATGAAAGGATGGATATAAGAAAGGAAGAAAGGATAGATAGATAGACGATAAATGAGGGAATGAAGAAAGAAAGGCTGGGTGGGTGTTTAGGAAGGAAGGAAAAAAATAGGAAAAGGGAAGAAAAGAAGGGAGTATGGATGGATGGAATGAAGGAAGGAAAGATGATTGGGTGGAAGAAAGGAAAGATAGATGGTTGTAAGGAAGGAAGAAAGAATGGATAGAATGATAGATGAAAGAAGAAAGAAAGGATGAATGAATGAATGGAAGGTTGGATGAATAGGTGGTTGGTTGGTTTTGTGGAAGGGGGGTCGCATGGATGGGGAAAAGGCGGGGATGATGGATGGTTAGATGAATGAATGAATGAATGAATGAATGAATGAATGAATGAATGAATGAATGAATGAATGAAAAGATGGAAGGGTGGAAGGAAGGAAGGGTTGATGGAGTAAGGAGCAAAAGATGGATAGATACAATTAGAAAAGAATAAAAAATGTAATAACATTATACACAGTGGTCAAAAGAAGTATGAATTGCACATTTTATACCATAACTGGAATAAATCTCAAAGACAGAACCTCAAGAAATTGTGCCGATGTATTATAATATGCATTCTTACTTAGAAAACACAGTGAAACGACTCAATCGGTGTTGTAAATAATACACCTACATCATCATAAGCTGTTTCATTCATTCTAGTCTCACCAGCCGAATCCTGCTCGTGATTTGATATGCCTGTTCATGTCTGCGCCCTGAAAGCAAGGTTTTTGTTGATCCATTTTCACTGGGACTCACTTTCCCCTTGGGGCCTGATGAGGATGACATTCTTTGGAGGGCGGTTACATTGATCCCCTCCTGGTGATGCGGCGCGGTAAAGGCAATCCCTTTGGCGTGGCCTGAGGGGACATCGCTTTAACAGGCGGCTGCTCCTCACTGCACACCGCTAGCAAGAGCAGGATGATGGGGAGCGACATCCATGGACTAGCAAATGAGATTCTGTGGTCCAACCATGTCAACACACGCACGGATCCACATATATGCTCTCACAGACCGCCCTGTGGTATTTAGACTGGGCTGGTCCATCTCTTTCATCCCAAATACAAGCTACTCCCATAAGCCCTTCTCAGACAGCAGCACGACTGACACCCCAAAACCTTATAAAATCTCTGAGCTGTTAGCCTTTCCTGCTGAGGCGATTGGAAACGTCCTGAAGGCACCATCTAGTGAGGACACACTTTCTCCAGGGATCAATCCAGGTGTTTTAGGGCTTTAGCCGATGTGATTAAAACTGCACCTATTGTAATACTTCCTTTCTGTCCTGCGGGAGTCAGTAACCTAACACCTTCTTTGATAATTAATGTTGGACCATGAAAGGTAGACTAAATATAAACACATTGTCTTAAAGGGATAGTTCACTCAAAAATGAAAATCTTGTAATTATTTATGTGTCTTTGTTAAAGTCATTCTTTGAAATGTTTCTTGAGCACCTAATCAGCATATTAGAATGATTTCTGAAGGACCATGGGACACTGAAGACTGGAGTAATGATGCTGAGAATACAGCTTTACCATCACAGGAATAAATTACTTTGAAATATTATTGCAATCTATTTCAATATTTTAAACTGTATTACTGTTTTACTGTGTTTTTGATTGAATAAATCCAGCCTGGTTGAACATAAGAGACTTCTTTTAAATACATAAAAAAATGTTACCGACCCTAAACTTTTGAACGGTGGTGCTTATTCGGAAGAACAATAGCATGCAGGTTTGGAATGACATGAGGGTGGGTAAATGACCGAATTTAAATTTTTAGATGAACTATCTCTTTAAATACATTCTTCAATCTCTTTCTATCTCGCTCTGTCATTCCATCTTTTGCTCCTTGTATGCAGTTGTAGCCCAGGGGTCTTTCTGTGTGTTTTGTATTGTGTTTGTAACGGTCTAAAAAGTCTCAGCTCTTGTACTAGAGATCTGATGGAATACCAAAAACCATCTCAGCACTGCAAGAGTGGCTTCTTTCAACCATAAAGCAAGCAGGACAGTCTGAACACACAGGGGTGCTTTTTCTTTAACATAACTCGTCTGACTCAAACCACGTCACACTCTCTAAAATAGCAATGGTAAACACAACAGTAGACTAAAAACAAGGGCATGAAGCGCCATGCCTCTAAAGGACAAATGCGCGTGCAGAGCTGCGGTTTGTTTCCTTTGTTAAAATACCGTGCGTTGCCTGCAGTGATTCATTCTGTGGCGTTTTATCTCAGCGAGGCAGAGAGAAAGAGCACAAGCCACTTATTGGTGCAATCAGGCCAGCCTCCGATAGCAGCTGACGGGCCCTCCCCCACTCCCCCAACTCCCACCCACCAGAGTCTGAACACTACTGTGTCAGAGCTCACTGATTTCACATCCTCTGCCCGCTCCTAATATGTGCAAGGACAAGCATGTGCGTTTCTGTTTTTGGTTTGTCCCTTGCTCTCTTCTTTTTTTTTTTTACCCCCCTTGATGCAGCTGCAAAACACAGACCTTGGTTGTCCTCTGCTCATGAGGACACCTAACCCAACCCTTACAAATGGCTTTCATTGGTGTAAACCTAATGTAATCATGTTGACTCACTGACTGATATTAAATAAACAGCATTTTGTCATAGTACAGACACTGAAGTGAATATGCAAGGCACTTGCACATGAATACTTGATTCTGATTGGTCAATCGCAGCATTCTGCAGTCTTTTTGTTCTTTTCTTTTTTTTAATAAAATAAAATAATTGACAGGTAAGCGCTTTCCTGGATATGTATAAAAAAGTTTATGGTTGGTAAGACTTTTAAATGTTTTTGAAAGAAGTCTCTTCTGCTCACCAAGGCTGTATTTATTTGACCCAAAAATACAGTAAAAACTGTCCTATTGTAAAATATTACAAATTAAAAAAAAATTATTTGAATATTTCTTTATATTTCTTTAAAGGCAGAGCTGAGTTTTCAGCATCAATACTTCAGTCTTCAGTGTCACATGATCCTTCAGAAAACATTATAATATTCTGATTTGGTGCTCAATAAACATTTAAATATTATTAACAATGTTGAAAATAGTGTTGCTTAATTTTTTTCAGGATTCTTTGAAAGTTCAAAACAACAGCGTTTATTTGAAATAGAAAACATTATAAATGTCTTTACTGTGACTTTTGATAAATGTAATGTGTCCTTGCTGAATATTTTATTTAATTTTTTTAATCCTTCTGACCCCAAACTTAAAATCCTGAAAGGTAGTAATTAAGCTAATAATATATTATATATATGCCATTACATATATGTATACATGTTATGGTATATATGGTAACATCTTACAATAATGTTATATGTTAACAACATCAGCGAAAGCTAATAGTTAAATTAATCATACACTAAAATATTTTTATCATTTCAAATTTGATCAATTAACATTATTTAATGTTTTATGAACAAACAGGAAATAACAAAGATTAATAATATTTATTTGTAGATTAACTAACTTTAAATTTAGAGATCAACCTTAAAGCTGCAGTCCGGCGTTTTTCCTCTTTGTCGCCATCTCTGTTCGAAATCTGCAATTGCAGTCATTCGCGGAATTATCAACTTTACGTGAGATGTACTTCAACAGCCTCGACACGGCACAGCACGGAAGAACACAATGTTTGAGGAGACTGTGAAGCTGTCAGTCACCGCGCCGATGTGGATACTGGCATTCAGAATCACAGATTATTCTTCTTGGAAGTATGACCAATATAAGAATTTTCACCGGAAAATGTCATCTGAACTAGTAAGAAACATCCACCTTTGTTCTGGTTCTGACATTGCAGTAAATCGCGCTGATTAAATATAACAATCGCTTATAAGTTATCATATCACGCAAAACCGTGCAAATTATACTTTGTTCTCAAATTGTTAATGTTAACAACGTCAGCATTGCGTGACTACATGTAATGTCCTTCCGATATTATCCTTGTTTTCGCATGGCTCCGGTTGCAGTCTCTTTTTTTCTGTAGCCACTCCGAAGTCCGAACAAAGTCTTTTGCATTTTACAGCGGGTGAATCTGTTGTCACTGGTGATTGTCGTTTGAACCTTTCTGGATCCGCCATCAAATTGATAAGTTTAATTATATCAAGTGCAGTGAGAAAAGGCTATAAATCTCCACCTCCAACATCCTCACACGCAATATCGCCTACTAGCCGAGACTCCTTCTTTATGTACAGATGTGACGTAATGACGCAAAGACTTGCTCGAATCTCCCGCGGAAATCCACCAGTACCACTGGAATTAAAGCTGCAGTCCATAGCTTTTTTTGGGTTAAAAATTATCCAAAATACATGTTTGAGAAAATACATAACCAGCCAGTGTTCAAAACTATTTGCTTGCCTTACCTCGATTCAAAGCGGTAAGCTTGTAATAATGTTTTTAATTCCAGTGGTACTGGTGGATTTCCGCGGGAGATTCGAGCATGTCTTTGCGTCATTACGTCACATCTGTACATAAAGAAGGAGTCTCGGCTAGTAGGCGATATTGCGTGAGGATGTTGGAGGTGGAGATTTATAGCCTTTTCTCACAGCACTTGATATAATTAAACTTATCAATTTGATGGCGAATCCAGAAAGGTTCAAACGACAATCACCAGTGGCAACAGATTCACCCGCTGTAAAATGCAAAAGACTTTGTTCGGACTTCGGAGTGGCTACAGAAAAAAAGACACTGCAACCGGACCTATGCGAAAACAAGGATAATATCGGAAGGACATTACATGTAGTCACGCAATGCTGACGTTGTTAACATTAACAATTTGAGAACAAAGTATAATTTGCACGGTTTTGCGTGATATGATAACTTATAAGCCATTGTTAGATTTAATCAGCGCGATTTACTGCAATGTCAGAACCAGAACAAAAGTGGATGTTTCTTACTTGTTCAGATGACATTTTCTGGTGAAAATTTTTATGTTGGTCAGTCTCCTCAAACATTGTGTTCATCCACGCTGTGCTGTGTCGAAGTACAACTCACGTAAAGTTGATATTTCCGCGAATAACTGCAATTGCAGATTTCGAACAGAGATGGCGACAAAGAGGAAAAACTTGCGGACTGCAGCTTTAACTAGATTAAATAAATGCTGTAAAATGTGTTGTTATTTCATGAGACCTAATGCACTTACTAATGTTAACAAACTGAACCCTTAAAACCCCATTAAACCATTACTGTGTATGTACAGTATATGTTGACCTTTCCATGACCCTCTGTTTCTGTAGTACACTTCCGCTCTGACGTACGATGGAGTGATGGTGATGGCAGAAGCCTTCCGGAACCTTCGCAGGCAGAAGGTGGACATCTCCCGCAGGGGCAACGCCGGAGACTGCCTCGCCAACCCCGCTGCACCCTGGAACCAGGGCATCGACATGGAGCGCACACTCAAACAGGTCACATGCACAGATGAGCAAATCCAGGCTTTATATTAGATGGGAAAGAAGTGCTTCGTGTAGTATTTCCATGGGAGGAAGACAGACAGCTGAAATAAATGTCTTATGAAAAAAACAAGGCAGTGAGGTGATAGAGGGCCAAGGCTGAACAGAACAGTAATCGGCGATCTGAAAAATGCGAAATGTCCAAATTTTAACTGATGGAAAGTGGAAAATGACAGGAGAAATGGAAAGGAAACTATAAGGATGGAGAGAGCGAGAACCATAGCAGAAAACAAGATGGATAGTGAAACAGTGAGAGCAAGAGAGAAAAGTGTGATGTTGTGTAGGGCAGGGTTTCTCAAACTTGTTTTAATCCAAGGACCCCTTTTTGTAACACCAAACTGTTCTCAGACCCCAACACCCAAACAAATATATATACATATAAAACAATGTAAAAAAAAAAAAAGCAATTGTTTATCTCGCTGAGTAATTAAAACTAGCTGTTTGCAGTACTTTATGAATACGGTCGCTTATTTATCGCTTAATCACGACGTGCATGTCAAACATGTAAAATACTATGAATAACTGAATCTTGAGTGTTTTATCAGCAGGAAATTGCTTTTAATTATACACAGATTAATAAGAAATAAATTTGAATTTGTCTCTACAACATTTTCATTACTAAAAGAGTCCGGGCAGAACGTATGAGCCTTTAGTATATTTATACTTAGTCCTGATGTGAGCTCAACAATTTAGAGAATAATGTCGCTGATGATTTGGCTCTGTATCGCTTGCAGTGGTTTTCAGATTTTCAGATTTTTATTCACAGTTCAAAGAATTTTCTGGTTATGTTAGATGGATCCCCGTTTGAGAAACACTGATGTGGGGTAATACTTCCAGAAGAAAGTGATGTTAAAGTTCAAGAAAGTAAGCGAATGTGTAAATGAAAGTGTTTCGAGGTGCTTTGCAGTGGTTGGATAAGCTGTAATGACATTGTTTATCACTGTAATCCAGGTGCGCCTCCAAGGATTAACAGGAAATGTCCAATTCGACCACTACGGGCGCAGAGTCAACTACACAATGGATGTTTTCGAATTAAAAAGTAACGGCCCCAGAAGGGTAAGATCTCATTCTTGTCGTGAGCATTGCAGAGGTCACCGCAGACAAAACATTTTTTTGTAATACGTCCACTTTGATATTGTATATCTGACTTAGAAATGTGCTTGTTAGGGTGTTTCTGTCTGTATTCATCTTTGATTCTGAGAAAGTGTAACCATGCTTTGCTTTTGCTCCGTCTCTCTACATCTGTCGAGTGTCATTTCAGTCTAATTCATTGTCTTTCTCGATGTGCTTAACGCTCTGTGCTTCACTTGATGCAGCTGTTTCTGTGAGAACAATCCCAGGAGACCCTGATGAGTCTTCATTATTTTATAGTCAGCGTTTTCTTTCTGTACAATGTAACATTTTACTTTTACTTCTCTTACAATACTTCAACGCATACTCATTTCACGCATACTGTATATGCATCTCTTTAAACGGTGAAAACAGCCATTTTAGATGCCTTATAAACCCATATGTACACACTGCAGTTAAATTCGGTTGTCAATTCACCTTTTAGTGTTTAATCCTGTTCTGTACACACACACTTCAGTAATTTTCAGTATCTACAACCAAATTAACCACCGGAAAAAGCAGGTACTGAAATCCGCATTTACAAAAATTCTATGCAGTGTGTACGGAATCAAACTAAACAACTGTCTGAGATGTTTCTCTCTTCTGTGTGTGCGGTGCAAGAAATCCCAGGGAAAGCAGCATGAGCCTTGACTCATTCTTGTTGCCAGATCTTGCTAGAAAAATGGCGAACAAGAACAAGCCCATAATAAATCGAATTGCTGTGCTGAAAATAATACCGAAATATCACGACGCGTAACTGCTCACTTTAATAACTTCATAATTAAAGATCGCTTTGTGAGCCAAGCTTAAACAACAAGCCCCAAAACGCTTATAATAAGTGGACATGGCAACACTGCAAGAGCGTGCTCTGTGAAGCAGCCTTTACAAGCATAAACAAAACACAAGTTAACTTTACTAAACACAACGAGTCTTTTGTCTTACTTTGGTCAGAATAGCAGATTCCAAACACGCGAGATGCCAGATCATTGATATATGTCAGCTTTGGGAGTGAGTCGTGTTCCAATACACTCACAGAACGATAATTTGTATTTAAAAAAAAAAAAGTAAATAAGTCCCAACTGGACTCAAATTTTATATTGCTAATTTAAATTGATTGAATGCTATTAAATTGTGACAAAATTGTCGGAGAAGTTTCCAGTCATTTACAACCAAATGTACAGTTTTTAAAATAATACACAAATGTCTGCCTTGAATGGTCTGGTGGTTTTAGCAGCAGAGCTATGTACGTACCATAAGGTCTCGTGTCACACACCTTCTTCTAAAGTTATGAGGAGCCCTCTGCCTCTGGCGTGCTTTATGGAGTGTGGCGGCTCCTGGCTGCTGTTGAGCAGTGCACCGGGGGAAGAGTGATGGGAAAAGAAGAAGGAGGGGAGCACAGGAACGAGCCGCCAGGGCTTGGCAGTCATTTATCAGGCAGTCGTGAGCCCCGCTTTAGGCGGATGCTGGAGCCTGGCTCTTCTTTCTCCCGTTCATCTGGGTTTCGTAAGGACACGGGCACACGCCGCTGCTCGTGTCTCTTCTGCATGGCAGTTTTTCATCCCACAGCAAAATGTTTTCTTAAGCCACCAAAATAAAAACATTCATATTTAGCATCTACATAATCACTTACAGTATAAATTTGAACTACCGGTCAAAGGTTTTTGAAAAAAGTGATTTATTTGATTAAAGATATCAACTATTTTAATATATTTTAAAATGTAATTTATTCATTTAATGGCAAAATCATTCTAGTATGCTGATTTGGTGCTCAAGAAATATTATTATTATCAATGTTGAGTTTTTTTTATTATTTTTTTTATTCTTTGATGAATTAAAGTTTAAAAGAACAGCATTTATTTAAAAAATAAATTTTGGAAAATTACAAATGTCTTTACTGCTCTGAAAGTCTTAAAGGATAGTTCGGCCAAAAATGATAGTTCAAAAACCTATATGACTTTTTTTCTTCTGTGAAACACAAAATAAAAATTTAAAAATGTATTTTAAGTTTAAGGTTTTTTGGGGGGTTTTTTGGACCCCATTTACTTTTATCGTGAGATAAAGGATGAATAGTTAGCCCGGTTTAGACATCAAATTATTTCTGCTCATTTACACACACTTCCACATATGGGCAGGCTTGAATGTATTCACTCGCTCTCTGTTGGGTCTGGAGTCTCATTCTCATCACTGTCCCATCTCCAGATCGGATATTGGAATGATGCTGATAAGTTGGTTCTGACCCAGGATCAAGCCTTACTTCCCAATGAAACATCTGGCATGGAGAACAGAACCGTGATTGTGACGACTATTATGGTGAGTAGCAGCATTTCCTGAGACTTTGACGCATTTTACAATTTTTGTTTGTCCTTCATCTGAAAGCTTCCATATACCAAAAGTCCCTCTCATACTCATGGTGAAAAAATGAATTTCGGCGATTAATTTCTTCATAACATGCACACACAAAGATTATGATCTGCAAACACTGCAGAAATTCACAGCCGCGCTGCGCTGTTCATCAAAGCACATTTTCTCTCTGTGACCTGTCAGTCATACTGCTGTCCATCTAGATAACCCAAATGTTTTTACGTGTGCTGAATAGCATCTCTCAACATTGCTGTGTAAATGTGTGCCATGGCATTGTGAATACGCCGTGTGCATCATGTGCCTTCTCACGCACTGTCAAAAAGTTACCAGAACTGGTGTCTTGGACTGTATTTTGTTTTGTTACTTTTGTCGACTGTAATCTTATGTGTGAGTCAAAACACTGCATGAATGGGATGCATTCTGTATTTTGTGTTTCCTATACATTTTGGAGATCGTAAATTACAGTATTGTCAATGTTTATGCACTGATTCAAGGATGTAGTGGACGTTCAGACACATAATTGGTAAATGCTAAGGTTTTGGAGTGTAGCACCTGAAGCCAAATCCTCCTCTTTTCAGCCCCTGGTGAGGAACCCCTTATTAAGAAACTGAACAGATGATGGACTCTGCAGAGGTGAAATCAAGCACTTACTGAAGCACGGACAGGCAGAGAGAAAAATCAGGACTGAGGGCAAAAACATGGATTCTACTACCTGAGGCAAAATGAAAGGAACAATGAGAAATCGAGCTGTGGACGAAGACAAAGACAAGCTCTAATAAGCAACTCAATCATGAATGGAGAAGATGTGATGCCAGAATTGGAAAACTGGATGGACACATGGAAGCCAAATGAAGTCTTTTCTTTAGCATTTATATCACGTGTATCGAAAAAGAAGAACCAGGTTTTTAGAGCATGTAGGTTTTGTATGTATAGCAAACTGTACATAAAATCATCATTACTGTCCATTTGCATTTATTAAGCATATAATGGATATTCATCAGGAATTCTCATTTTCCCATTGTGCTATATACTTCGGATTTATAATAGCCTTAGATATTAAAGGTACTGTTCACTCAAAAAAGGAAAATGATCATGATCCTCATGTCTTTCCAAACCTGTATGGCTTTCGTCTGTGGAATTCAAAAGAAGCTTTGAAGAATGTTCATGCTGCTCATTTTCTATAGAATGAATGTGGATGGGGACCAAAAAAAGCACCATGAAAGTATATGTGCTATCTGAAAGTCTTTTGAAGTTATACAATGAAATTTAAATCGCTATTTGTATTCAATGGAATATCTTGCCTTGAAAATCTTGGTAGACAGCCGTGGTCACCATTCACCGTCGTTGTGTGGAAAAGTTCAGCTTGGACATACAATAAAGGTGGGAAAATAAGGTGAATAAAATGAAAGCATCATAAAGGCCTTCAAAATGACTTAAAAACAATAGAATGAAATTTAACTTGGTCACCATTCACTTTCATTGTGTGAAAAAGAGCAGCTTGCTATTCTACCTAACTATCTCCTTTTGTGTTCCACAGAGGAGAGAAAGTCAAGGGTTTCGAAACTCAGATGGTGAATAAATGGTTTTCATTTTAGGCAGAATTGTTCCTTAAGGTTGGAGGTTGTGCGTGATGAAGGATTTTTATGTAGTCTTTATAAGAACATGGTTTTGTATACTTGCCTATACACCACTTCATGACGCAAGAATACAGATCGCCCATGCTTGAGGCGTTACCAGCGACAAACGCTAGATTCTTTTTTTCAACAAAAAAATGTACCTGTAGAAAAACACTGCCCAGGAACATCACTGCCCTGTGCTTGTGAAAAAAGATTTGAAGAGAAGGCTGCATTCTCATACATCAAACAAATTTGAGATGAAACGGATCTTCCGTTGACATTCAGTTCGGAGAGCTCAATTTGCTGTGTGTGAAATATTTAATTCTCCCTACTGGGCTTTCTGCCTTTCATCATTTTAGGCTAGCCATATGGCTTAGAAAATATTTGTAAAAAGGGAAGCAGGTTTTCAGGATTTTTATGTAAATGTTCTGCTGTTTCCTTGCGAGTAAACATTTCTATTTGCTGCTGTATTGTTTTAGATATTGTTTGGTATGACAGTACATCATACTGATGACTAAGAATGACTGTTTGTGTTCGTGGTGTTGCTTTTATTTGCCCAGATGTTCCTTTTTTATCTGAACTGTAATCCTTTATAGGCTTCAGCAATGTAAATTTTAAAGTTATGAGCAAAGTTCTGCATCATTGTGTGTAACAGATTTGCAATAGCAGTTTCCTGTTAAAATGTCTGAAGGCATGCAATGCAATTGTAATAAATTGTAGTCATGAATTGTATGGGTCAGTTATCATTGCTTTGAATCATGTACAGTACATAGTGCACATTTGGTGTGCTTTTTTATGATATCTTAATGCTTTTATGAACCCTATTGTTATGGTTTTATACACATTTACTTTTTATTCACTCCTTTCTCCTCTGAAGATAATACACAAGATAAAAATCTTTATTGTTTTTATTAAGTAATGTGGAGAATATTGACTCATGTTCATTTAAAAAAGCAATATGTCCTTATTTCAATAGTTTCTGTATGGCTAACATTTGATTAGTAAATCAATCATCTACATGCAAACATAATGGCTGTAATTATCTTTAATAACTCTTCTAAAACAGCTAAATTTGTCTATAACTCCACAATATAGAATATTTAGAATATAGAATGCTAATGAAATATAACGGCATGGCTAATTTTCAGCACTTTAAACATTTTGCTGGTTTACAAAAGTGTAACATGTTGCCCATTGAAAGTACTTTGTTGTTTTGTTTGTTCAGGAAGGGCCGTATGTAATGCTGAAGAAGAACTGGGAGTTGTACGAGGGGAACGAGCAATATGAGGGATACTGCGTGGATCTGGCATTTGAAATTGCTAAACACATTGGTTTCAAGTACAAGATCTCCATCGTGCCTGATGGAAAGTATGGAGCTCGGGACCCAGAGACAAAGATCTGGAACGGGATGGTTGGGGAGCTGGTGTACGGGGTAAATTATTTATCTCTTATTTTTGCAATCTTCTGACTTCAGCATACAAACCTGTATGAGTTTCTTTCTTCTGTTGAACACAAAAGAAGATATTTTAAAGAGTGTTGGTAGCCAGACAGTTGACGATACTCATTGACTTTTATAGTATTTTTTTTTCCTACTATGGAAGTCAATTTTTGAGTAAACGTTAAGTTCTGTGTCTGGTGAAGAGGAAAAAATAAGAAAGACAACAATCTTTCAGAGGCTGATGTTTATTAATGAACACTGCATACAGCCAATGCTTGTCGTCTTGTCGGTTTTTGCTGAGCCCTGGAAAAAGCAACCCAGAAGTTTTTTTTTTCTTCCTCTTGAAAGCGTCGGGCAGTTATGAGAAACTTTAATTTCTTTTTTGGATTAGTCTTACGCAGCCCTGCCAAGGTCTAAAGTGTCACTAAGTCACCAACAATAATCTAGTTTTTGGATTTACCATGCAGCAAAACGTGCAGCCAGACTTTAAACTCTACAGTTTTTTCTCTCTAGTCCTGTAAGCATTTTTTTTTTTCTTTGCATTGATTAGTTTATCCCTCTCCCCAAAAACTAAACCTCAGTATTAAGCCTCTTGGATTAACTGCTTGGAATTTTTGACATTAATATGCAAAGCCTTGTTCAATTAGAGAAGTTGTAAAATGTGATGCAAGAAGAAGTGGAAATCAGTAGATTATGCTTTATTTTCTCTTTTTATTCACTCCTTTCTCCTCTGAATATAATTTTCAAATATGATATCTCAGCTTTGAATATAAAAACGGCAAATATTTAGTTGAGCATCAGCTTATCCAGTCAAATGGCTTAGTTAATAAAGTGGAAGTGATTAAAGACAAAGATTGATATGAAACATGCTTTTCTTTTGTTCTAGAAAGCGGAAATCGCTGTGGCCCCATTGACTATCACTTTGGTCCGGGAGGAGGTCATAGACTTCTCGAAACCCTTCATGAGCTTGGGCATCTCCATCATGATTAAAAAGCCCCAGAAATCCAAGCCAGGCGTCTTCTCCTTCCTGGACCCGCTGGCCTACGAGATCTGGATGTGCATTGTGTTCGCCTACATAGGCGTGAGCGTAGTGCTCTTCCTGGTCAGCCGCTTCAGCCCGTACGAGTGGCACACCGAGGAGCCCGAGGAGGGCACTGACGGTCTGCCTAGCGACCAGCCCCCCAATGAGTTTGGGATCTTCAACAGTCTCTGGTTCTCCCTGGGAGCCTTCATGCAGCAGGGTTGTGACATCTCACCCAGGTCAGCAAACTTAAAACACCAAAGAAAAATTACTTGAGAGGACAAAATAAAAAACATATATTGCAGTGGAAATGAACACAATTAATGTCTCTGATATGGTCATATCTGATACCTGAAATAGAGTCATTGCTGCAGTTTCCATAGTGATTTGATGACGAATTTTGTCCGAGTCTGAATTAAAGAACATACAGGCAAGCCAAGTGGGAGAACTTGCATTAACACTCAGTGTTTATTCATTGTATCTGCTTTGGATCTTTGGGGAGCGGGAAAACAACCAATCACAACCGGCATCACTAAGAACATTTACATGCACAATTATAATTATAATGCTACTGTGTTTTTTGTAGTTGAGCTGCTGTCTTTCCAAGTATGCACTACCATTCAAAAAGATTTGACTTTTTATTGAAATGAATACTTTTATTCAGCAAGGATGCATTAAATTGATCAAAAGTGACAAAGACTTTTATAATGTTTCAAAAGATTTCTATTTAAAAACAAAGATTTTTATTCATCAAAGAATGCAAAACAAAAGTGTCGGTTTCCACAAAAAAAAATATTAAGTGGATGGTAGTGTAAATATTTGATTGGTAGTGTACATGACACAATATTTGAAGGATTACATACATGACAAATTATTGTTGTTGTACTTCAACTGAAATCGAAAAGAGTGCATGTAAACGTGTTTACTGATGTGGTCATATATCCATTTGTATTTAGCAAGTGTCAGTCTAAAAAGGGCAGTTCACCCAAAAATTATGTTATGTTCTAAAACAATATATTTTTGGGAATATCCATTATCCATTTAAAGAAAGTTAGTGAAGTTCAATATTGTTTGAATATTGATAATAAGTTCAATATTGTTTTGGACCCCTTTGACTTTCATTGTATGGACAAAATCAGTTGAAACATTCCTCGAAATATCTTCTTTTGTGTTCCACAGAAGAAAGTCAAACAGGTTTTGAATATCATTTTTGGGTGAATTATCCCTTGAAACTTACTCTGTATTTACTGAATACATCACCCTTGTCTCACCCGTTCCTCAGTAAGTTATTGAGGTGTCATCCCACTTTGCACCTTGATGAATTTCACCGTTAGTGAAGCCAGTGGGCGGTCCGGTGTGCTCCGGAACAATGCGATCGTTCATTGCCCCATTGCTATGTCCCGTTGATGTCCACATATCGCCTGTCTGTCCTTCCGGCTACTTCTCAAATCTCACGGGAAATGTGCTAGTCATTCATCGTTACTCTGTGTGGCAGTTTGTTTTTGTTATTTGTCTCTTGCTCCTTCCTTCGCCTGCGGGTTTAAAACATTGGGCTCGCTGCGGTGCTGGCTCTCACTCACACACACTCTTTTCTCTGTGTAATAAGCACCTGCATGACCACGATAGAGCTCTTTAAGAAGTGTTATCAAGAGAAGAGAGAAAAAAAAAACAGGCTTTATTTTTCAGCCCCCACCAGATAAGAAATCACTCATGACAGGCCAAGGGGAAGAGAAGAGCAGTAAAAAGCACAGCACATGGAGGAAGACAGCAGGTACTTAGAGAGCCGTCAAAACCATAGTGTCTATCTTCACTGCTCTATAGCCTGAACATCACAGTGCTGTAGAGGGCCTATGGTTTTAGATTTGGCTTAAGAGGACCCATTTAGGACTTATAAGAATCATGCACTTCATCGTTTTTGCATACAACTAATAAGGATTCATGAATTGGATAGGAGCCAATAAGCGGTGAAAAACAGCACTTCCATTCATTTTCTTTAGTACATGCCATTAATTCTCTTTAGCCAGCATGTACCTTTACCTCAGCGTTCTTGATTTAGACAAGATGACGCAGTTGCACAGCAGCGTTACCCGGGTGCCGGTACTTGTCCTTTCCTTCTCCTCCTCCTCTTCCCTGTCTAATAGCCTACTGGTTATTCAAATGTGCAGATTTGCTTTTCTTTTTCTTAAGCACTTTATAGCTTTATGCATATTTAACAGCTAAAGTGTGTAATTTTTTGATGGTAAAATACTTTGTCCTATAATCCCACAGCACTGTACTGATTGATTTGATATTCATATTCATTTTCACATTCCATTCTCTTGGAGCATAATGGAGCCAAACCCATCTGTCACAGGACAGTTTATAGTCTAAGACAGGGCTTTTCAAACTGGGCTCTGTGAACTTTCCAAGCAGTTGCTAGGAGGGCAAGTTTTTAACCGTAAGAAATAAAAACCAATGTAGCACATATTTTTTGTGAAAAACGTTTTTCACCATCCTTTTAGTGGAGAAAAACGATACACATTTAATATAATGAAAAGTACATGTTTTACAGAGTCAGTTTTGTAGTCAAGATGTTGTCTTCATAATACCACAATTAATATTTTAGTTAATATGTTAAGTAGTTTTATATAGGAAAATAATAATGTTTAATTGTTGTTGTTGTTATTACTATTATTATCACTCTATTACTAATATTAATATTATTATTCGTTTCAGATTTAGTAATAATAATACTGCTACTACTAATAATAATAATACTATTTTGTTGTTGTTATTGTTATTTGTTTTGGATTTAGTAGAATGACAAACCATTGATAAAATGTTGCAATCATGCTGTCTGTCATCATAATATCACACTTAGAAAATGTTCTCACAGTATTAATTAATCTTTATACAGGAAGATACTGTATTGCTGCCTTTATATTTTAGCAAGTGGATCATCATATTTGGTTTAAGAAAAGTTTGTTATACGTTATTATATTCTATTTTTGTGATGCTAGAAATGATCCACTTCAGCTTTGGTGGTGTGATAAGCCAGTGCACAGTTTGAGCTTGAATCATTTACCATTGAAATATTGATTCACTGCACTTGATTTTAAAGGATTGAGGCATTGATTTTGTCATTTTGAGGCATTTTATTTTATCATAATAATTTTTTATAGTCAATCCGCATGTAATTAATTCAGTTTCATTCAGCGCCACTCTATTACATGGATACTTCTTGTTCACAGTTTGTAGGGGAGATGATTGATGAGGATGATGTGGGAATGATGGGGTATGAAAATGCTGAGGGGCGTGTTGTGTGATGGGGCCGGACAGGGTCATAACTCTTGCCTGTTTTCCCTGTCGTGTTTTTGGCTCAGGCGGGCTGGCAGGTGTCATCAGCAGACAGGTAGAGCATCTTCCTGGGCCTCGGAAACAGCCAGCATCTGGCGTGTGCGCTATTGCAGTGATTTTGTAGTTGTAATGCATGTGGGCAGCGGACCCTATCAGACATGGGAAGATTAAAAAAAACTAATTTTCAGATTCAAACACATGCAGCCTCAGTGAATGGAATTGCATCGCGGGATGAGCGGGGAATTAAGATATGCTAATGATAGTCATAGGTTCGGTATGCTGCTTGTAAGATTGTGTCGCGAGTTATAAAACCTTTCGATAAGCCTTTTCTTGAAGTGTCAAGTCCTTGAAGTGCTTCGGTTGCACTGGCTGGGCAATATTTATTGAAGTGTGTGTGAAGCTGACGAATGTTTTTAAGAATGCTTGTGTATGCAGGTGTAGTACTGTATATAAAAGGATGGGATGTATGGGAAATGTGAGGTTGCTGTTGGTCAAAAAACAATATTTTCTATGACAGGATTTCATCTCTCGTTTTACAAACATGTTTTTTTTCCCTGATATGTCAAATAACACTTTTCTTTTTCCTTTTTTTCCTTCTTTGTCTCTCTCTATCCCCCTCTCTCTCTTGCTTTCTTCTTCTGTCCCTACTTTTGTGTTTTATGGTCGATCTTGCTCCAGTAATTGCCTCTATTCAGTGACTTCTTTTATTCCTCAGATGGCTTGGGAACGATTGTAGGGCTAGAAGGAAAGAGAGATCATGGGAGTGATGTAAGGATATGATTGACTCACCAGGCCAGTGCTGTAACAGTGACGGAAATGAGAGAAAGGAGATTACGCTACAGCAGAGGAAGCTTTGCCCCAGGATTTCTCCATGCCAAAATGATCGTTTCAGCCCACAAATCATTTATCTACATAAGACACTCTGGGATAAAAGTTGATACCCTTGAACTGTAATTTCCTTTTTAGATTTATGACTATATACAGATGAAACGCATCCCTGAAATAGCATATGATATGTGTTGCATTACAAGTAATGTGACGTAGTCAGATGATGCCACAAGTAATGCCATTAAATCTGACCTTTTCAAACTAGATAACGTTATTTTTTGCATAATTAATTTTTTTACAGACAAGTGCAGTTGAATACCTCTCTTTTCTCCATGTTAGAAGCAATAGGGGTATTGTGCGCATGACATGCATTGTAGGAGCAGGCTATGATGGGTATTGTTCTAGACTAGAGAATGTGTGTCATGGTTATCAGTGACGTTTGGATTTATTTTCTACAAGCTATTAATGCTTTAGTGGAATCCAGTCAAACTAGGTATTTGTAGTGGACAATAATTTGTCTGTTGTCTCAGAGCAGCGGTGGATTTCTCTGCCCTTAAACTCACAGGTGCAACCGCCCTAAATTCAGCTGTTGTCATGGTAATAGACCCTTTTCACATGTATGGGTTTCTCAGAAGCGGAAGTCATCATAGTTGGGTAAACTTTTATAGCGGTGAATGAGAGAACACATGAAATATATTTTTTTGTGTTCCCATTTGCTTTAAATAGGTAAAGTAAAACTCCACAATAGTGTTTTCACAACTTTCAAAAAGAGGGAAAAACAATAGAGAGATATTGATAATGGCAGTCAGAAGAGAGAAAGATGTCAGTTTGACCTTCACTCCCACAGCCGCTGTATTAGAAACACCCTCACCGCAGCGTTAACTTTTTTTGTAATTTGATGCAAAGGTAATATAATACAAAGTATATGGTTATAAATGTACATAAAAAAAATTAAATATAAAAAACTTTGCAGGATTTACGATGCTGATGACCGTTAAAACGCGTCATCGCAGTCTGTGAAAAGGGTCCATTAGTGTGAGTCTTGTTTTTTTTGTTTGTTGTGCATTAGATTGAGAATAAAAATGACAGCTGTTAAGACAGTTTGGTCACACTTTAGTTTAGAGTCCAATTCTCACTATTAACTAACTATTAACTACGACTTTTGCCACAATAAACTTCTAATTACTGCTTATTAATAGTTAGTAAGGTAGTTGTTAAGTTTAGAAATTGGGTTGGATAAGGGATGTAGAATAAGGTCATGCAGAATAAGGAATTAATATGTGCTTTATAAGCACTAATAAACAGCCAATATCCTAGTAATATGCATGCTAATAAGCAACTAGTGAGAATATGATCCTAAACTAAAGTGTTACCGACAATTTTTGTCCGAAATGGAGAGAAGCATTGTTTCCAGCGGTTTTGATTCTTGAGTAAATACACTGATTCCACATTAAAAAGTCATGGAATGCAAAAGTGAGTGATATAGCCTAGTGGCCCCAGGCTGACACAAAGGGAATGCTAGAAGTTCCACGGAAATATTTAAGGAAAAGAAAAAGATTTTACAAAGTGCATTTTTATTATTGTATTAATATTGAAATTAAATATTATATAAAGTTCAAATTATAATTTCTCATACAGATACGTGTAAATGGGTTAGGCATATAAAAATATATACACTAACATTCAAAAGTTTGGGGTCAGTAAGAATGTTTTTAAAAGGAAATTAATACTTTTATTCAGCAAGGATGTATTAAATTGATTTAAAATAAATACTGTTCTTTTGAACTTTATATTCATTAAAGAATTCTGAAAAAAATCTGTTAAGCAGCACAACTGTTTTCAACATTGATAATAATAAGAAAAGTATCGTGAGCAGTAAATCAGCATATTAGAATGATTTTTGAAGGATCATGTGACACTGAAAACTAGAGTAATGAATGAGGCTGAAAATTCAGCTATGCTATCACAGGAATAAATAACATATAAAATATATAAATATATTATATTACAGTAATATTTCATAATGTTGTCCTATTATTTTGAAAAATGCAGCCTATGTGAGCATAAGATATTCCTTTTAAAAACATTAAAAGACCCCAAGTTTTTGAACAGTGGTGTAGATACTTTTTTTTTTTTTTTTGAAAGTGGATCATCATATTCGAGGATTCTTGACATCAAAACGTTTGTAAATGCATACAAACTATGCGGATAAACACTTGACCACTTCCAATGTAAAAAAATACCTTCTATTCTCAATGAGAAACCATTTCGGCATAGCGCAATTTACAAGTAACACGTTATAGTTTCTGTAATGTTTAGGCCATACTGAGACATCCAGGTGTTTGAAGACGCCACATGCTGTATATGACGATGCCAAGAGACAGAAATTGCTCCCAAATAGGAATGGATGTATTTTTAATGAGCTAATGTAAGAGCTTGCTTTTTTATTTTTCCAATTTGCCAGTGGAAGCGGAGATCAGTAATGTGGAGTATGATTGTGAATGACTCTAGTCTCATGCGTGGAGAAATTGATTTGCAGGTATTAAATCTTAATCAGAGCAGTAGAGAGGAAGCCATGAATAAATAAAATGCTGGAGGCTCACTGTGGCTGCGGGCAGTGACCTTTCCATTTATCTACGGCATGTCAAGGTCTCTCCTTTCTCTCCCGACTCTCTCTCTCTTTGACTCCCTCCACGAGTCTACCCGGGTACACCTCTACAAACCTTTCAGAATGTAATTTAAATTCTCCAAGCATTCTTTTGCTCAAATACACACATGCTGATGTGTTGTTCTCGACGAGAAATCTGCATGAAAGCGGCGTAGTGAGTCTCACTGACAGTAACACATCCCGTTTCACAGCTCTAATGGCACTGCTTTGAGGGATACACTGGTAATAGTTTGCTTATTTTGTGCTTGTGAGTATGTGTGAAATCCACAGAGACGGTTTGATTCTTATCATTGAGCTGTGATCAGAGGGTCTGTATTACAAGAAATGACATTATGAGGACCAGAGAGAATTCCTATTTGTTCATGGATCATATGTCTTTATGAATGATACTGTATGCCAAGCGGCAGGGCATCAGAGCGGGCTGAGGGGTGACTCACTGGTTTCGCGTCCACTCAATTTAGGCTCTTATTAAATTGCCTTTGTCTCATGAAGTCAAATCGATTAGCCACTGTTAGCGCGAGCCCCGGCGCATCTGATACCCGGACGTCACCGGGCCTGAATGGTGCGTCTGCATGCAGGTTGGTGTTTAGCAGTGACTAATTCTCTTGGATTTTGAGGTACACGATGTTCTCTGATTCAATCCTCAGGAGGGTGACGGCCCACCTTGAGTCCATTCTTAAAAGCGAATTATTATAACCACTGGGTCTTAACACAGGAATGTTTCATTGACAGTGGAAAAAGAAGCACAGGCCTGCATAAATTCACAATGAAATCCTGTAAACTGATATGCATGATCAGGGTGAGGTGAGAATTTAAACAGCGTTGGGATTTAGCACTTCGCCCCCATCATGGTTGACGTTCCTGCCAGCCCACTCTAAATAGCCAATCTGTCTTCATGGCAACCGGTCGGAGAGATCTCCCTTTTAGTGGAGGAGACCCTCACCTACGCAGAGTCAATTAAAAGATTAAAAGATGACTTTATTACTCAGAATTGCTAGATATAAAGTCAGAATTGCATGATATAAAAACGCAATTGCATGTTATAAAGTCAGAATTGCAAGAAATAAACTCGCAATTCTGACTTTATAATATGCAATTGCGACTTTATATCTCACAATTCTGACATCTTTTCTCAGAATTGCGAGTTATAAAGTCCAATTGGGGGAAAAAAGACTGAACTGCGAGATAAAAAGCAAAGAATTGCGCAATTACCTTTTTTTTTATTCTGTGGCGAAAACAAGCTTCCATAGATTTTGAAAAGAAAAGTTCAGCAAAATGTTTTTGTTATTTATTAACTCACCATCATGTCTTAAATTTTTTTTTTAGGATTTTTTTATGGATAAAGAATAACAGCATTTATTTCAAATAGAAAACAGGTTTCAAAGTACACGTTTTTGAAAACGATACCGTTACAAAAATGTGAATCTGTGAAAACGGTGACGGCATGCACATGCGTGTTACGTATTTAGTCGTGCGTGTTTGAATGCGTGTGTGTACAGGCGCGTAGTCTTTCTTTACAAAGTGACATCGCCAACTACTTGGCGTCTGGCATGCATAATACAGCCTTTTTAGTCGTTTTCGCGTATCCGTGGGAATGGGGATAATTTTGATAACGTTGTCATCTGTACAAAGAAAAAAAAACTCAGTTTACAGTACATCGTTGTCGTGTAAACGTGCCCTTGGTCAATTTAATATCTACTGAATAAAAGTTTGAATTTCTTTTTAAAAAAACATTGCCTTTTGAACAATAGTGTACATGGAAGAAATAACCCCACACATGTTTTTTGAACAAACAATTGCTTTGCATTTTATTTTTAATTCAATATTTATTTATTTTTAATAATTGTTAAATGGTTAAAAGTTAACAAATGTTTCTGACAAAACATTTCTCTCCTTTTCTCCTCCTCCTTTCCTCAATGTCCTCGCCCTCAACATGTTTTTCTCCTTTAACCTTCTTTTTTTCCCATTGTTATCCTTTCTTTCATTGCACTGCCATTCACCGCTCCTTCAAACTCTCCTTGAATGGTCATTTTCCTCTCCACTCTCTCCCTTTCCGGCGGTGTAGGTCTCTATCTGGACGCATCGTGGGTGGAGTGTGGTGGTTTTTCACCCTCATCATCATCTCCTCCTACACAGCCAACCTGGCTGCTTTCCTCACTGTGGAGAGGATGGTGTCGCCCATTGAGAGCGCTGAGGACCTGGCCAAGCAGACTGACATAGCGTATGGTACTCTTGACTCAGGCTCCACCAAAGAGTTCTTCAGGGTGAGTGGGCAAAGCTAATGGGTTGAGGGGAGGGCGGCAGTGTTTTGTTAAGGGGGGTGAAAGGAATAAATTACTCCAAAACAAGACGACTTCAAGTGCTGTATAAGAAGAAAAAAAGAGATTCAGTGAAAACCCACAGATTAATAAACCAAGCTTAGAAAATATGTCATTTTTTGGTGTTTTAAAGAAGTCTCTTATGCTCACCAAGGCTGCTTGTATTACATCAACAAATACAGGAAAATATTATTTCAATTTAAAATAAATGTAATTTATTCCTGTGATCTTCAGTGTCACATGATCCTTCTAATATGCTGATTTTCTGCTCAAGAAATATTTATCAATGTTGAAAAGGATTGTTTGATGAATAGAAAGTTTAAGAGCAGCATTTATTTTAAAATTTAAAATATTTTGTAATATTATTATTATAAATGTTTTACTCTCACTTTTGATCAATTTAACGTGTCCTTGCTGAATAAGCGTATTCAAAACAATCTTAGTGATGTCAAATTTTTGAACGGTATATTAATTGAAGTGTATATTAATTTCTAATTCATAGATGAGTTTGTTCATTTATAAATGTTAAATGAGATATATTCATGAAAATCTCCCACGATCCCACAAGGCTGAGAACCTCTGATCTGTAATTCAATGTCTAATTAAATAATCGGCACCCTCCACACTTCCCCTGCACACTTCACTGGCATTCTATACCTTTCCCCCCAACTTTCAGAGGTCAAAGATCGCCGTTTATGAGAAAATGTGGAGCTACATGAAGTCAGCCGAGCCCACGGTGTTCACGAAGACCACGGGAGAGGGCGTGGCGCGGGTGAGAAAGTCCAAAGGGAAGTACGCCTTCCTGCTGGAGTCCACAATGAACGAGTACACGGAGCAGCGCAAACCCTGCGACACCATGAAAGTGGGAGGCAACCTGGACTCCAAAGGCTACGGGGTGGCCACGCCCAAGGGCTCACAGTTAAGGTGGGTGGAGTAGTATAACAATATGTCACGTGTTGTTATGGTATTCCACCTTCCCTGGCGTGCCTATTTCTATTTTTCTCTTCTTTCGTTTTGCTTTTCTCATGTGTTCTTGTGTGCAGTTAAAGGTCTTGAATACATAGTGCTATATGTTGTTTTTTTATTTATTTTTTATACTTAACGCAGGTAATTTCAAACTAATGCATGCATGTTAATGCCACTGACTTTTTGAGATGAAATGTCTGGATGTTTAACAAAGAATGTGAATTTCGGACAAGCCTGTGAATATTCTGCCTAGTCTGACGCTACCTAAATCTCTTTCCCACGTAGACTGGGAGGTACAGACATTAAAGGGGTCATGAACTGGATTTGACTGCTGTGAGACTTCAGTGTAAACGCCCACTGCTGTGGTTACAGGGTTATGATGCTGGGTATTGGCTGACATCTTTGCACATGAAATAGCTAGCATTACATGTGGAACTCTCTCTCTCTCTCGAAATCTTTTACTTTGTTTTTACTATTGCAGCTATCGAGATTAACAAATCGTGAAAAGTAATGAATATACCCTTATTTTTAGATCAATTCCCAACTCATGAAAGGTTGCAGGTGAAAGGCAGTCTGTTGACCGCGTGAATGAAGTGATCTCATCAAACACGATGTAAATGCAGTAAGAGCTTCATTGTGCAGTGTAAAAGCATAATTGATTTCATAATGAGTTTTGGCAAGTGTCCAGATATACTCGAGCTGTCTGATTGACAGCTTGGGCGGTTGGAAAGGGAGCGTTCTTTGATCACTTTCTGTATATAATTGAATCACAGTTTAAATGAGATTATTTTCATCCTACTAAGAGAAACAATGTAAAGTTGATCGTTTAGTCACTAGCTTGATTTGCTGATGCATAAACAGTATTGAACGATTTTGAGAGAAAGATGATCTATCTGAATTTGAATAATTACACATCAGAAATCACTGATCACAGATCAGGCATTAGAATAAACATGGTTACTTACATGTTTGTTGCGTTGCTGTCAGATCCATTTCGTAAAAGTCAGTTTGCAAAGCCTGCATCGAAATTGCGACTACCAAATAAATAAATAATTAAAGTAAAATGCACCGAATACAAACAAATAATGCACTGCTGAGACATTTGCATTGTTGAAAAAAAAAACACTTTCCTAACATTAGGATCTTTGGAAGGTAATGGCATTGATCCTGTGTCGATCTTTTCTCGTTCTCATGATTGTAACTATTCAAACGCTCCAGTGGGCGGCGCCAAAGACGTGGTGATGTAGACGTAGGCGTAGGTGATGTTTCCCGTTTCGCTGCCCTATGATGTCATAAGTCACCACTTTTGAGATCCTGTCGTTTTCTAGCCTTGTTATTCCAAAAACAGCTTTTATTGAAACCAAGGACGTTTTTAGTTTTGAGACGTACAGAATATTTTTTTATAGTATAACGACCTCTTAACTGTCAAAAGATCAAGGAAAATTCTCAGTTCATGACCCCTTTAAAAAAGCACTAAAGTATAGCATGAAGCATGTACAGTAAGGCTGAGAAGAGTCAATGACAGATGACGGTAGCTCCCATGATCAGCCATTTTGTTGAGGAGTTACCGTGGTCTGTCTGACTCTTCTCCTGATACCGGGGGGAAGAGCATCCAATGGCGTAGCAGCTTTTCTCCTGCTGTTGTGATGTCAGACCAGTGCAGGAGATTCACACGGCTTCAGATGTACAGCACAGTGCCCTTAATGCTCTTCTTTCTCTTCCCCTCCTCAGATGTGTCTCACTACATTATTTCCCTGTCCCGTTCTTTGTTCCTGTGGGCTGTGTGTTTATTAATGTTGCATTCAGGATAAACTGCATTCAGGATAAACCTCTCTTGAATCATTCCCATCATATACATTTGACACTTAACCAGACGATGGATTAGCTAGATCAGACTTATACAATGATGTCCAAAAAGTCCACATCTAAAAAATGTTAATATTAATTTATTTATTGAAATATAAAGTTTTAGGATTTTGATGTTAAAAACTAAATATTATTATTATTACATATTTAAATGTACTTATTAACGTTCATATTAATATGACTAAATCTATTAATTTTAACAATTATTTATTTTTTGTTATTGAAAATATAATATTTTAGGTTTGTGTAGTTTAAAACAAAATTATTTTGATTATATTAAACATAATTATTAATTAATTTGATTTATGAATATTTTATATTCTGCTCTATTTCTAGTTCACAAACATTTGTTTGTTTGCTTGTTTGTTGATTGATATTCATATTATCCTAAAGTATTAGGATTTTGACATTTAATACAATTATTATTATTGATTTAAAACAAATGTATTATTATTTATTTAAATGTATTAATTTAGTAAATATGTTAGAATTTGCACTTTTATTTTTCAGATTGTTACACTAATTTACAATGAAAAAAAATTGAAAATGAAAAAAAAAAGCATTTTCACTGGTCTTTTGGACGGCATTGTATGTGACATAGCAAGTTCGTAACATGATATTAATTAAAAGGCTATGTATAAAACATTACCTATAGAAACTATAAGCATTCTAAGAACTGCAGGGAAAGGTGCAATCTGGTGTTTAGGAGCAGAATTGCATTGCCAGCTCGCTTGTGGCTGAGCCAAAGGTGGGAATGCAGGGGTTTGGGGAATAGGATCAAACTCATTCAGCACTTTCAGAGGCTTAAACCCTCAGTGCTCATTTAAACTGTCTGTAAGCAGCATATAGGGAAAGTAACAGGCATTCAATATTTTGAGGTCCCTCTGCGCATCTCACAGCAATATTGAGTACATTGTAAAGCAGTCTAGTGAGGATGGGGAAATAAGGATAGCTTGGGTTGGGGAGGAGGGGTTCAAAGCGAAGAACAGATATTGATTTTTCCATTCCTCCATCTGGAGGTGTGTATTATGGGTAGACAAATAAGGCTGGTGTGAATTAACATGAAAACAGGGAAAGAGAGGTTTGTCCTCCGTGGTTCTGTGTTTTCTAGGGGGAAGTGGGGAGGGAACTTGCGACTAATCTCTAGAGCTTTCCACCCCTTTCTTTCTTTACTTAACCTGATTGGATTCTGCTCAACTATGACAAACTGCTGCTACTGACAAACTATGTTTTATCGTTTCAAGAAGTGCCGTTAACCTGGCAGTTTTAAAACTGAATGAACAAGGCCTGTTGGACAAATTGAAAAACAAGTGGTGGTACGACAAAGGAGAGTGTGGCAGCGGAGGAGGTGGTGAGAAGGTTAGCCACTATGTCAACCAACGCGGGTAAACAGTTTCCTCTGTAACGGGAGCATCTGCCGGGGCGCAGTCGCATACCTGACCTTCATCCTGACCCTATTTAGCCTGAAGAGAGAGAGGAACGCAATTACTGTCAGAGCACAAATATTCGCCGTGGATACTAGGCACAGATTCCCTCGCCGATCTCGTGTCATCCATCACGTTTCCCGTCAAGGAAACTTTTTCTCCTTTGAAGTAGTTGTGTTCTTCAGTTGCTGTTATTCTCCTCCTGAGGCGCATCCGCTGCATTTTTTAATAGGAATGCAGAGAACATTTCTTGTCCTTTTGAAAGAGGCTGCAGTGTCGCATTATGATTATGCATTAAAGACATGATCTAAAGTCAGAGGCAGTTTTAACAAAATACTTGCAAAATTGAAACTAAACGAAAATAAATGTAGATAATGTACAAGAAACGACTAAAACTGATTGGAATGAAACCAAATAACCATAACTATAAAGACCCTGGTTAGAGGGATGCAGAAAGGTTAGTGCCTGTGGTATATTCCAATAGTTGTGGTTTAACAGTAATTGCCTCCAGCATTATTAGAAAAGGCCGTGGCAGTATGCGCCCGTTACCTAAAGCGATGGAGCAAGGTCCCGTTCATATGTCTGTGGCTCCAGCGCAAGGCCCTAAAACACTGTTCCCCTAAACGGAGCGCAGAGACATGTATTACAACGGGACCATTGGCTCGGTCACTTTGCCAGTGCAACTGCTGTGTCAGCTGTTATGAGTGAATAACATAAAATAACATGTCCTATGATGTTATTTATGTTATTTGTGTTACATTCCTCTGCGCGGTTGAAGAACCCCCGTAAACCTTGCCGTTTTGAAACTGAGCGAATCAGGCATCTTAGACAAGCTGAAAAACAAATGGTGGTACGATAAGGGCGAGTGTGGACCCAAGGACTCGGGAAGTAAGGTCAGTCTGGGACCATCACTGTTGTCTAATGCTCAGTGAGGTAGAAAGTCACCAGTATCTAGCGCATGCTCATCTGTAGGGAGATTTCAGATGTGCACCAAGATAGTTCCAGCATGCCCTGCTTCTCCACACTAAATGTCTAAATAGATATTTGTTTTTTAGGAGAGGAATGGAAGTGACTGGGCTTTTTGAAGGTGTCCCAAGTTTATTTAGCTGAGCGTACCATTGATTTCTTTTTGCATGACAAGCCAAGCGAGCCTGACTTTTGTGAAGCGAGAAATGCGACACATGTGGAGATGAGCTTCAACACAGCGAGAAGTTAAATCCTGTTTCGGAGAACTCGCAGTGTGTAATCGCACATTGAGCTAGCGATCCATTTGAGAGCTTAGCCAAAAAATAAAATTGAAAAACATCTCCTTTAATTACAAATTAATTGTTTCAATTGCTGTCAAAGCACTGATGCCTGTCAGAATTCGCCACAAAAACATCAGCTTTTTCAGATTAGCCTGCAAGCGAAAGGTTGATTGGGAGGATATGAATTGATTTGTCTGTAAATTGTAAATGTTTGTGAATGTGTTTGGTGGTAGCAAGTAGATTCGTAGACTAGCGCTCTGAATGTGTGTGTGCGTGTACGTACGTGCGCTCTGCTCCCGCCCCGTTAACTTCCTGTCTTCCTGTTCCTTTCCTTCCTCTCGCATCCAGGACAAGAGCTCACAGGCCCTCAGCCTCAGTAATGTGGCTGGGGTCTTCTACATTCTGGTCGGGGGCCTGGGCCTGGCCATGCTGGTGGCCCTCATCGAGTTCTGCTACAAGTCCCGAAACGAAGCCAAGAGAATGAAGGTGGAACAGTCTGAACGTCGCCCCTCTTCCTCTCCTCTCCCCAGTCCTGTCCCCCTCCCCAGCCCCCATCCCTCACCAGGCCCCAGTCCCACCCACAGCACTCAGAGTTTAGCCACATATAGAGAGGGTTACAACGTCTACGCCACTGAAGGAGTAGAGATGTAGGAGGTCAGATGTACGTAGGTGCCCGGCAGTCGTAAGTGGAGTTCCTCTGTTTTCGCTGCCGTAGCTTGCCGTATGTGAGCCCGTGGTACAGCTTCTTGTGTTTGTGACGTCCTTGTTCTGTCTCCTCCACGTGTGCTCCGAGTCGGAGACTTGCATTCACATATTTGTGCATGCTGAAGACTGAGGTATACCTGGACTGCACACGTTTGTAATCACACGCCAGTGCGGTAACCTCTCTTTATCGTGTAAAGAAGAATAGCTAAACAAGGCTTAAGACGATCATTTCACCAGAGGCATAGTCTTAAAAACCCCCTAGTTGTCAATTTCAAGTCATTTTTGGCTCCAAATGACTATGCCAGATGTATTTGAGATGCTTCATCGCTGAACTGTGTCATAATCTGGTGTTTTTGTATGTGCTTGCTGATAATGTGCACTCATTCAAATAATGATGCTCTGGCTTTTAAGTACGCACAGCTGACTCCCATTCTCCCTGTCCCCGCTTTGTCTTTTCTCTCCCGACGCAGCTCACCTTCACCGAAGCCATGCGGAACAAGGCGCGCCTGTCCATTACGGGGAGCGTGGGCGAGAACGGGCGCGTCCTGACCCCCGACTGCCCGAAGGCTGTCCACTCCGGCCCCTCTCTGCGGCAGAGCTCCGGACTGGCTCTGGTGTCGTCCGACTTACCGTGAAAACCAAAAACGTTCAAGTGCCTTAAACTCCACAAGACCGCAAAACAGACATCAGAAAAACCGACCCTACAGCAATGACGCCACCAAGCTGAGCAATCGTGCTGACAAGGTAGATTTCGAAAGGATCTTCTCACACCCCGAGGTGCCACCGCAAGATACTATACTGTATGAAGGGTGGTTATCGCAAAGACTTCTGTGTTTCTGTCATGTACATTCAAAGAACTCGTGCTGCCTTTGAGGATGAAGCAGGTGGGAAGAAAGAACAGCGAACTCAACTGAATCAACTGGAAAAAAAATGAGCTGCTCGTTCTAACACTCTGCCATAACCCTCGCCAAACCGAAACACCGCAACTCGACATCTTAACATAGTTAAAAATGGGCATTTGTTTGCCCAAGAGGGTATTATTAACATGGATATGGTATTAATGAATACTTATTAAATAAACTGTGAAGAAGAGTTCATATATATATATATTCTATAAAATCATAACTAAAATAAATTATTTACATCGTTTTGTAAATAGAAGACTGTACAACTCGCTTGCTTTTTAACGAATTTGTAAATAGTCGATTCTGTAGTGGACAGAGTGTAATTCTCTTTTTAAACCATCTTTAGACAAAGGATTCATCGCAATAATGGTTAGAAAACATTCAAAAGATGATTTGATATATGTAGATGTACATGAACTTTTATGGATTTAATAACATGGGCATGTTATCAGTGCCAGTGACCTATGCGCCCATGATTCTCGGGAATGTGGCACACACTCTCAGTGCATCTCAGCCGCTGCTCTTTCCCAAGCCATGCCCTGCATAATCACTGTGCAGTCATAGACCATGGTACCCTCTAGACTGTTTTATTTTATTTCCACAGAAGCATATTTTATTTTTGATTTTATGTGATTACTGAGAAAAAAAAATGAAATATTGAGAAGTATTTAAATGTTTGTCCATTCATTTTAGAGCAGACGTCTTTATGAATGATATAAAGAAATTCAATTGGACGAGAAACCAATCAAGCTCAATCGCGCAAATGTGTATAGAAATACAATAGAATAGAAAGTGTTCTTTCTACTGACCGCCTCTGAAGACACTGTTTGTATCGTGAGAGCCATTGTCAGAGTTCAGCTTTGGCCTTTTTTATGAAAAACACTGTGTAACCTCATTCAGGCCTTTAGCATGTTCTCCAGAAACTGTAGCAATGGACATCTGGACGAAAGGACAGCACATGGACAATTTCAAAGCTTCAGGACACCATCGTGGAAAACGGATCAATCTTTCTCTGCCCAGTTCTGTTCAACTTGCATTTAATCTGAAAGTGCAATTTATGGCTCCTCCTGTTCCAACAACACCACATCTTGATAAAAACACGTACTTTTACTCAAGCACACAATGTTTGTCTCTTGTTGTATTTCTCCCCTCTTTTTCCTCTCTGCCTTCTACTCTCATTCTGTCTCAAACACACACACACACACACACACACACACACACAATGATCCTGATGCTTATTGAAGTTCAGTGTCTGGAGAGTGGCATTAGGTTTTTTCCCCCCATGGTTTCTAAAGCTGTGATGAAAGTGGTGTCCTTACTAGGTTAATATGTTAAAATTGTAAATATTTATTTTGATCATTTTTTAGTAAAATATCAATGGACATGAAATTGCACCTCTGTGTCTTTATTTGGTTTAATGTTATTTGAACTCCCAAGAACAAAATAGAGACTAGACTCCACAAGATCCAATCCAGACAAGATTCTCTTCAAACTGTTTACTGAAAATACAATGTAAAAAGGACTATTTTACACTCATTATAGAGAAAATCCATGTATATAAACTTGGAAATATAGCACAATTGTTGGCATCACACCATCGTATGTATGACACGTTGGTGATGTATGCCAGCAGCCATATCACCCTGTTGCCCAAGACTGGTTGCCCACAGAAGCTAAGCAGGGCTGAGCCTGGTCAGTACCTGGATGGGAGACCTCCTGAGAAAACCAGGTTGCTGCTGGAAGAGGTGTTAGTGAGGCCAGCAGGGGGCGCTCACCCTGTGGTCTGTGTGGGTCCTTACGCCCCAGTAGTGATGGGGACAGTGGGACACTATACTGTCAAAGAGCACCGTCCTTCGGATGAGACGTTAAACCGAGGACCTGACTCTCTGTGGTAATTAAAAATCCCATGGCACTTCTCGTAAAAGAGTAGGGGTGTAACCCCGGTGCCCTGGCCACATTCCACCCATTGGCCCTTGGCCCCTTGCAAATTATGGCCTCCTAATAATCCCCATCCACTGAATTGGCTCTATCACGCTCTCTCCTCTCCACCTATAGCTGGAGTGTGGTGAGCACACTGGCGCCGTTGTACTGTGGCTGCCGTCACATCATCCAAGTGGATGCTGCACACTGGTGCTGGTTGAGGAGAGATTCCCTGTACATATGAAAGCGCTATATAAATGCCTCATTCATTCATGTATGCTGTAAAATGTGATGGGCTGGTATGTATCTGTACTCTACTGTCACTCAACATACCATGGTCAAGAGAGTTAGATCCAGTGACACTGGAACAGATGCATTTTGACAGGGAGAAAACAACTTTTATAGACAGTAATTGTTCCTTAGAGAGGCATTATAGGTAGTTTGCATCAATATCCACGCAGAGAGCATTCATTAAAAACTCAATATATGTGGTCGTGACTGTGCATGACCAAAAAGATACTCAATTATTTTTCAGGGACAGAATCTAATACTTAGAAATGTTATTTTAGATGCAAAGTATTGAACCGTGCAAGTGCTCTGAGGTTCACTTGTGTTTTTGCAGAGCAGAGGGTAAAAAATGACCTTGTTAGGAGGAAAAACCACAAAGTACTGATTTTAATTTTAATTGTGTTATTTTCTTCCCTTACAGCAATCCACACAGAAAGGGCAAAGTAGTGCATGATGGGAATACAAATAAATATTGCAGGGAAACAGCGTTGGCTCTGAAAACCTAAATGCCCTCCTATAACAGATGTTGGCACATATGTTAGAACACAGACAGTCAAGCTAATGACCTTGAGGAGTATGTCATTTAGGACCATCTCAAATGTGCACCTCTTCACGATACTCATCATCAGTTTGTGTTATCTAGCGAGAGCACGAAGTGTTGAGCCCACATTTCATGCCTATTTATTATCTTTAGATTCAGGATCGTAACATGGCAAATTTATTATTTGAAGTATAGATGTTTACTAGGACAAATTCAGCTAGCGATCACAGCAGATGCACGCAATGTTGACATTTTAACAACGAGCTACCATTATCAAACCCTCAAGGTCACGTAGGACAAACTTCACCTAAATGTGGAGCTTGCAGGAATCCAAACCGAGCAGATTGTTTTAAGTGATGTGCGCGTCCGTTCCTGCCTATGATTTGTGTGCGTGGCGGTCTCTATGACGTCAACACTTTTGGAACTACTTCTACCTGATCTGACGCTAACACAGATCTTTTTGTTGACAGATGTTCAGAAGAACATATTGACATATTTTTATAATTCCTGCGGTCATTTTGTTGTCTTTTTGGAAATAAAAGAAAATGGTTATTTTGCATTTGTATTCCAATTTAGGCAAATGTACAGTGCATCTGGGTATTCTGTGATTACAGAAAATTTGCATAATGTGTACAGTATGCAGAACATACTCCAGCAAGCAGTAGGGTTTAAGACATGGCTTTTGAAACATTAGTTAAATTAAATAAAGTTATAATCCATAGTGCTCCATTTATTATTTATAGAAACTATGCAATACCGAGTAGCTACACATTAAATAGTGAAGTAATTCTCTTCTAAGGAAACCAGACGGTCGCAATACTAAATGGAATGCTGTAGGCTATTCTACTGCATACAAACAGTATACTGCAATCAATGCATACTAGTACCATAGCATGCTACTATTGCATGGCACAGGAAGAAACATATGCCTGATGTGAAGTCATCATGTAAAATGATCATCATACTGATGCAAAATCCTTCAATTCTGTATTCAACTCTGGATTGATTTGTGTTTTGTGAATTTTGTATTTGATGACAATGCCTGGTCTCGCTTTGAGCTTCTATTATTTATTATGCTAAAGGCAGTGGTGGACAGTAACGAAGTAAATGTAATTCGTTACTGTACTTATAGTCTCAGCCTCAGACGTCACGCCCACGGAACGTTGGCTAAACGTCTGATGCATATGGTACACTTAACTGGAAACACTTCAGGAGTGTCGAAGTCGTCATCTGATTGGTTGAATTTTATCGGATTTCCGGGGGGTGCGAGTGTCGCGTTTATTTTCGGTCTGCCGGGAAACAAAGCGCAGACGTGTGATTGCGGAAGAAAAACTGTTGTGTTTACATGAGTGACAATGAGCATTTATCAAGATCAGCTAAACGTAGGATTCTCAAAAGTATGCGAGGTTCACGGCGTAGACTCTTGAAGAGATGTCCAGGAGTTTTGTTTGAGGCACTTAGTGGAGACAAAAAGAGATATTTTAGCCTGTTTGCCGACGGGATTTGGGAAGAGTATTATTTTCCAAGCCTGGCCGACCCTTTGTCAGCATTTATAAGGATTCCCAGCAGATCCAACTTTACTAGTTGTGTGTCCCCTCCTATCTATTACATAGCTGTCAACCCTCCCGTTTTTTCCGGGTTTCTCACGTATTTTAGCTCTTTTCCCGCTGTCTTCCCGTTTTATTATTTTCCCGTAAAATATCCCGTATTTTTACGCTCTGATTGTGTGAGACGTACATGCTCGGGCAGATTCGGCTTGAAGTCGTTCATCCTCGGATGCGGCGCCGCGCGCGCTGTTACAAAAAAAGCTGTGCACACAGCCAAGCGAAATGGGGTCTTGCCGGTCTTGCGCACCCAACGCGTAATCTTTGCCGCGCTCGTGCGGACGCGTCAAGTATAAACAATTATACTCCGTGTCAGCGCGCGCTTTGATCGGTAAAGGAGCACAGGAGCGTCGCTCGCGTTGCTTGCTCGCGTTGCTCGCGTTGACTATGTAAAGGCCCTTACTCGTGTCAGCGCGCGCTTTGATCGGTAAAGGAGCACAGACTATGGCAAGCCGTTTTAGCTTTAATTGTACCCAACCTTACGCGTCGTAATTACATTTTTACTAGTAATAATTCAATTAGAGAGCTCTACAATTCAATTCTTACTAGTAACAATTACAATTAGAGAGCTCTCTAATTCGATTATTACTAGTAACAATTACAATTAGAGAGCTCTCTAATTCAATTATTACTAGTAACAATTACAATTAGAA